CTCGTGATCCACCCGCCTTGGCCTTGCAAAGTGCTGGGATTACAGGCGTGAGCCACCGTGCCCGGCCTGTTTATTTTTATTTGTTTATTTTTTTGAGACTGAGTCTCACTCTGTTGCCCAGGCTCTAGTACAGTGGTGCGATCTCAGCTCTCTGCAACCTCCACCTCCTGAGTTCAAGCAATTCTCCTGCCTCAGCCTCCTGAGTAGCTGGGATTACAAGTGTGTGCCGCCCCACCCGGCTATTTTTTTTGTATTTTTAGTAGAGATGGGGTTTCATCATGTTGGCCAGGATGGTCTCGAACTCCTGACCTCAAGTTATCCACCCACCTTGACCTCCCAAAATCCCAGGATTACAGGGGTGACCCACTGCGCCCAGCCAGTTGGTGTATTTAGACCATTGACTTTGAAAGTGATTAATTGATGTAGTTGGATTAATGTCTACCATGTTGTTCTTGTTTTTTTTTTTTCCTATTTTTTTCTTCCAGTCGTATTCTCTTTGTGGTTTTATTTTAAGAATTTATTATTATTATTATTTCTATTTTGAGACAGGGTCTCTATGTTGCTATTATTATTATTATTTCTATTTTGAGACAGGGTCTCTATGTTGCTCAGACTGGAGTGCAGTGGCAGAATCATAGCTCACTACAGCCTCGAACTGCCAGGCTCAAGCGATCCTCCTGCCTCAGCCTTCTGAGTAGTTGGGACAACAGGCACATGTCACTACACCTGGCTAACTTTTAAATTTTTTGTAGAGCTAGGGTCTTACTATGTTGCCCAGTCTGGTCTTGAGCTCCTGGCCTCAAGGGATTCTCCCACCTTGGCCTCCTAAAGTATTGGGATTACAGGGGCCAGCCACTGTGCCTGGCCTCTTTGTGGTCTTAATTCAGCATTTTATGATTGCATTTTCTCTTCATTAGCATATCAGATATAATTCTTTTTCGTCCCACTGTTTTTAGTGGTTGCTCTAGAGTTTGCAATATATATTTACAATTAATCCATATTCACTTTCAGATAACATTGTACTGCTTAACAGGTAGTTTGAGTATTGATAATAACAAAATATTCCTAATTCCTCCCTCCCATTCCTTGTATCATTGCTATCATTCATTTCACTTACATATAAGTATATATAAGCATATATGTGTGTCTATATATAGACACACACCCTCACATATATATGCTTATACATACATGTAACCATACATAATTGAATATGTTGTTGCCATTATTTTTCTGAACAATGTGTTATTAGACCAATTAAAAATTAGAAAAATAAAATTTTTGTTTTACCTTTACTTATTCTGTCTTTGATGTTCTTCCTTTCTTTGTAGATTCAAGATTCTGACCTGTGTATTTTTCTTCTCTCAAAATAACTTTTAAAAAAATTTCTTGCAAGGCAGGTCTACTGGCAATGAACACCTTCCATTTTTGCTTGTCTGAGAAAGTATTTCCCTTTCGTGTTTGAAGGATAATTTCTCAGGGTACAGAATTAGAGATTGATGGTTTCTTTCTTTCAGCTCTTTAAAGTAGTTCACTTCACTGCCTTCGTGCTTAGTGGTTTCTGAGGAGACGCCAAATGTCACTCTTTGTTTCTCTGTGCGTGAGGCGATTGTTTTCCTCTCTGGTTTTTCTTCAGGATTTTTTTCTTTATCTTTGATTTTCTGTAGTTTGAAAGTGATATGCTTAGGTGAAGTATTGGTTTTGGCTTTTATTTATTTTTTCCAAGTACAGCCCTATTGCCTTTTTCTTACTTGGTGTTCTGTGAGCTTCCCAGATTTCTGGCTTGTTGTCTGAACTAATTTGGAGAAATTCTCATTCATTAGTGTTGCAGATATTCTGTTGCTTTCTGTTTGTCTTCTCTTTTTGATGTCTCAGTTATGCAGATGTTATACATTCTGTAGTTGTCCTGCAGTTTTTCGAGATCGTTTTTTCATTCTTTGTTGTCTTTGCATTCAGTTTTAGAAGGTCCATCGGCGTATCCTGGAGCTCAGAGGCTCTTTCCTGTGCTGTGTCCGGTCTGCTAATGAGCCCAGACATTCCTCACGTGTTACAGCTTTTGATCTCTGGCGTTTCTTTCTGATTCTTTCTCCCAAGTTCCATTTCTCTGTTTACATTGCCGCTCTGTTCTTGCCTGGTGTCTGCTGTATCCATTAGAGCTCTTAGCGTATTCATCATAATTGTTTTTGATTTCTGGCCTGAGTATGCCAACATCCCTGCCATATCTGGTTCTGTTGGTTCTGATGCTTGCCTTGTCTCTTCAAACTGTGTTTTTTGCCGTTTAGTGTGCCTTTTAATTTTTTCTTGTTAGCTGGACGTGATGTACCAAGTAAAAGAACTGCTGTAAATAGGCCTTTCATTATGTTGTGGTAAGATGTTGGGGAGGGCAAGTATTCCGTAATTCTGTGGTTCGGTCTCAGTCTTTCAGTGAGCCTGTGCCTTTAGACTGTGCACTCCACAAGTGTTTCTCAGGTTTTTCCTCCCGTTAGGACGGACAGCGAGGCTGGAGGCAGCTGGAGTTGGGTATTTCCCTTTCCCCGGAGTCTACTTAGGCGCCGAGGAAACCCCAGCAGGGTCAGGTTTTCTGAGGGCGGATCTGAGAACAAAGTGCCCTGTTACATTTCAAAATGACCCCTTTCTCCTCTCCGCGCTGGAAGCCCAAGGGGATTTTTCTCCGTTATTTGCTGTGAGAACTTGGTCGTGCTGGAGGTAAAACTCACAAAAGCATGGGACCCACCTGTGACTGGATCCCCTGGAGTTTTTAACTCAGACTTTTCCACACCGAGCCCGCGGCAGTTCCTCAGTTAAAAGTTAGCTGTTCCTTCTCTGCTGCTTGCTGTGGAGGTTTCTGCTTGGGAGTATATCCCCAGTAGGTTAGGATTCTCTGTGTTTGCCTGTCTCTCCCGTTTTAGAGGCAGCAGTTTATCCTGTTACCTTCTCTTACGGATCTACGAAGAGTTGTTGATTTGTCAGTTTGTTCATCTTTTTACTTGTTGTCAGGATGGAGTGGCGACTTCCAAGCCCTTTACACGCAGAACTGGAAGCTAGAAGTTGTAACTGCCTTCTTTATTCAAGATTAAGTTGCTTTGCGGATGAGACAGCCAGTTTTCCACATTATGTTTCTTTTTAATCTTTGCAAGTGTTGTATATGAAAAGCAGTTATCTCGCTTTAAGTGGCATTTGTCATTTTTTTTTCTATTGGGGTATTTGTATTTTAACTTAATTTTATAAGGTTTTTATGTTATGGAAATATATTGATCTTTATATATGTTTTAGGCTTTAATGTGTGTATGAGCTTCCTAGGTTGCCAGAGCAAATTACCACAGGCATGCCTAAAACAGAAATTTATTTCCTCACAGTTACGGAGGCCAAAAGTCTGAAGTCAAGGTGTTAGCAGGTGGTTCTCCCTCCTAAGTCTCTCAGAGGAGAATCCTTCCTGGTTCTCGCAGCTTCTGCTGGCTCCTGGTGTTCCTTGGCTTGTAGCAGCAGCACCACTCACATCTCTCTGTGTGTTCATGCGGCCTTGTCCTCTGTGTCTTTGTCTGAAATTTTCTTCTCTTGTCTCTGATGCAGACATTGGTCATTGTGACCAATTCAGTATGGTCTTGTCTCAAGATCTTTAAGTTAATTACATCTGTAAAGACTTTGTTTTAGAATAATATCACAAGTTATAGTTACCAGGCTTACGGCTTGGATATATCTTTTTGAGGGGACACAATTCAGGACATTAGAGTGTTATACTTAGAAGATGTTATTCACTGAAGAATAAAAGACAATCCATCTGTATTTTTTCCTAGTATTTTTATATCTAAGTCTTTAAGTCATCTGCAATTTGTTTTGATGTTTGTTTATTTATTTTATTTATTTATTTTTTGAAACGAAGTCTTGCTCTTATCCCCCAGGCTGGAGTGCAGTGGCGGAATCTTGGCTCTCTGCAACCTCCGCCTCCCGTATTCAAGTGATTCTCTTGCCTCAGCCTCCAGAGTAGCTGGGATTACAGGCGCCCGCCACCACACCTAGCTAATTTTCGTATTTTTAGTAGAGACGGGGTTTCACCATGTTGGCCAGGCTGGTCTTGAACTCCTGATCTCAGGTGATCTGCCTGCCTTGGCCTCCCAAAGTGCTGGGATTACAGGTGTGAGCCACCACGCCTGGCCTTGATGTTTATTTTTATATAATAAGTTGGCAAAGCACCCAGTTAATAAATGGTGGCACTAGGATTTGAACCTATGTCTTTCTTATTCGAAAGTCATCATTTATTTAGAATGACCTCCTTTTAGTGTTGTAACTTTCAGAAACTGTGCCTTATCAGGTTGTTCTTATTGCTTGTCTTATTATAGCAGAAAGGACTGCTGTTAATAAGTTTCACTGGCATGTGATACCGTGGTGGCAGCCAAACGTCCACAAACAGTATTGAAGACACTTGAGCCCCTTTTCAGCAGTTGTTATTGTCGGAAAGAATAAGAAGTGCCGCTTGGAAAAATGTTTTGGAGAGCATGGTTTGAAGGCACTGGATAAATTTGCTCTGTCTGATACAAATTTTATTGGACTGGCCAGGGACATTTGTAGTATAAATTGCTTCACTTCTATTAAAAGATATTAATATCAAGGGCTGTTTATCCATATTAATTTTATGAGGCTAGTCACACTAATATAGGCTTACCATGTTTGTAGAGACTTTTATTGGTAATGATAAAAGTTGAGCTGACAACGTTTCTATCATCCTGTAATGTAATGCACACATAGAGCCCACTTTTGGTATGTAAATCTCTTGATGTGTTTCCGATGACCACATCACAAAGTCTGGTTTTGGTAAGTTTCTTATCAATGGTTCATATATTCACATATAGTCTAGAATACAGTGAATACTGTGTGTTCTGTTCCTTCATATAATAAACATTTTGTATCAACTGTATAATTTTTCTCATAAATTTTAAAATAAGTTATAAAAAGCAAGACTTACTGTTGTTCTGTGAAGAAATCTGATTTTTTTTTTTTTAAAGGAAAGTACAAGTAAAGATGTTCTGGTGAAGACCCTCAGGGCTACTGACCTGAAACTTAACTCTGATAATTTTCATGATGCAAGTGCCAATAGAGGTGGTTTTGACCCGACTGACCCTGTAAAACAGGGGGTGGAGTGTCCTCATCAAAATAAGACAGTTTTGCACATGGATGGATGTTTAGACACTGAGACTCCTACAGTGTCCATTCAAGAAGATGTGGATGTAGCCTCTTTGAAGCCTATTAGTGACAGTGGAATTAATTTCAGTGATGCCCTTTGGTCACCAACTTGTGAAAGGCGAACATGTGAATGTCACGAGTCCATCGAAAAGAATAAAGACAGTAAGTGGACTTTTAAAAAAATAGAGTGAAAGAAATAAATGTTCGTACATCTTAATAGGATATATTTTCATGTGAAACGTGCCCGTCTTTCCTATTGAAATATTTTAGTGTTTTATAGTTTAAACAAAATTTTAAGTCTACTAGTACAGGGAAGATTGCTCAGAAGTGGTGTCTTTTCTCAGAGATGTAGTGAGAACGTATCTTTCTAGCTGAGTCTTTTCCTTTATTCCTCATTCTCCATTATAGATTTTTTGTGAGTAAGGCTGGCTTGCCTTCCGTCAAAGAGATACTTTTCTTTTGGGGAAGTGGTTTTTCCTTTTTCTAACTAGCTTTGGCAGACTTCAGTACTGTTGGTAACTAAGGTAGTCATCTAAATTAAAAAAAAAATGAGAATGTTTTATCATTTTAGTTGTTACATGTGTCATTTGATATTTTGGGAATTTTATTTTTCAGAAACAGATCTCCCACAGAGTGTGGTCTATCAAAATGAAGAGGGTAGGTGGGTCACAGACCTCGCCTATTACACATCTTTTAATAGCAAACAAAATTTAAATATGTCTCTAAGTGATGAGATGAATGAAGACTTCAGATCTGGTTGTAAGTATATGGATAAACGTTTATTATAACATTTTCACTGTTTCTGATCTTTCTAAGATTACTCTCTATATGTTGGTCAGTCACATCAGATCCCTTCTGGACTATCACTGGATTCTGGAAGCGCTTCACTTGTTTTTATAGGACCTTAGGTTTTAGCCAGTCTTAATCATTGTAGAATGAGCCGAGCCATTTCCTTAAGCAAAGCCAATGAGTGAGAATAGCATTTGTATACTGCTGTGTAGACACCTTAGTATTGCAGGGCTGGAAGGGACTTCAGGTTTTGCCTGTCCCTTTAAAATTTCTGACCCGAGCAAAGGAAATGTGCTGATAAATCAGCAGTTACAAAAACCAGTCCATGAAAGGTAGAAGGTGTGGTAGAAATGATGGAAGAAAAGTAACCAAAAAGATAATGAAATCTCAAGGGATAAAAGCATTAACAGAAGCAGTTAGGTTGTTGATCAGCATCATCCCTGACAGTGAATATAGAAAGTGGTTTAGGTCTACACGACGCCAGGTCACGGGATTTGGAGCCGCAGCCTGTGAAGATGTTGTGCCGCAGCCCTCAGGGCTGAGCTCTGCTGTAACTGGAAGGAGCCGCGCTGCTCATGGGCCTGTCAAGCCTGGCCTTATTGTTCATAGGCTTGCGCCCGAGGAAGAAATTTTCCCACTTACTGCTTGTACTAAGCTTCTTTCAAAAAGTCTCCTGATGTGGAATTACAGCAATAATTGAGGTAGTATGCCAGTCCTTAACTGCTTATCAGCCCAGAATGATGAGACAGGAATGCAGTACACAGTCATCAGCATCGTGAGAAACTCAAACCAAAAGCAATGGAATTCATAGAAGAAACAAACGTCGCGTGAGTAGGTAGCAAAAGAATAGGAAGCCACTTTTGAGGTAGGGTTTTCACAGGTAATCCTTTGGGGGCATGAGAAATTTCAAATAGAGAGAAAGCCCAGTTTGGAAGGGAATGAGATGGTGAAGTGTGGGCATGTTTGAGAAGGTGCATGGTCCAGTGTGGCCAGCCTGTATGGCAGGATAAAGGGAGGGTGGCCAGAGGCTAGGAGGTGAAGCTGGAGAGGTCAGTGGGCCAGGAGTGGATTGAGACCATGCCCAGGATTGAGGCTTGTCTGGAAAGCATCAGGATTCGTTGCTTGTGGAACTTGCTGGGCGAGTCTTCTTTTGGCAGTCAGGGTCATTTGGGAGAGTTCTTAGGATGTTGTCGAAATCTAGGTGTCCCAGTGAAAATGAAAAGAATAGCTAATGAAAGACGCAGAAGTAAAATGGTTAGGATTTGATGGCTGGATCTCAGGGGATGGTAGAGAGGCAGGAAGAGAGGAGGGTCTGTGGTCTGAGTTACCTGGGGCAATGGCGATACTGTTACCTTAGGCAGAGAGTCAGAAGAACGTGTAGATTTTGGGTGATTGCGGTTTGAGGCAGAAGTAGTCATTAGTGGAAATAGGGGTCAGAAGTGTGAAGCTGAGTTGCAGTTAGGACTTACTTAATGATATCTTGATCTAAAAATGATGATGCAGACTGAATGGTGGATATTTATCACCTAAAAGATCATGGAATTCTCATGTGTTGATGGTGGGAGTGTAAATTGGTACAGCCATTTTGGAAACCTGTTTGGCAGTGTCTTGTAAAGGTGAACTTGATGAACTTCATACTTTATGACCTAATAATTCTGTACCTGAGTACATACACAGCAGAATAGGGTGTACGTATTCACCAAAAGACATACTAGAATGTTTATAGCAGCACTATTTGTATCAGCCCCGAATTCTCAAATTCGCATTAGCAGTGGAAGTTTCCAAGTCGCTGCGGAACCACCCTCCCCTCCCCCAGCCGTAGAATGGATTATGTTTATTCATACCCTGGAATATTAGGTTGCAGTGGGAATGAGATGTGAAGCTACATGCAACAGCATTGGATGAATCTCAGTAACGTGGAATGACATGAAGCTGACTGAGAACGCAGACTCTGTAATTCTATTTGTGTACAGCTCGGCAGTGCAGTCCTGCAGAGCCAGCCGCAGGGCAGTGGTTACATGTGGATGGGGAGGTAGCATGGGAAGCAGGTGGTTTGGGTACTGACAGTGTTATGCTTCTTAATCTGTGCTGTTGGCTACTAAGATGTGTTCAGATTGTGAAAATTCCTTGAGCTGTACACTTCACCTATCGTAAAAAGTTTTTAAAAATTAGCAATCAAACTGAGAATAAAAGATTTGTAATTCATATTATAGGTTTAGAGCCCATTCTCCTAATATATAAACAGTTCTAATAAACAATAAGAAAAAGACCAACTACCTCAAAATTGGAAACAATTTATAGAAAAAGAAAAATGGTTGTTAAATGTACAACAAAAAATGTTCATTTTTACTCATGGAAAGAAATGCAGTGTAAATCCACCCAGTCATAGTATTTTTCAGTTACTTCCTTGGTAGTGATCCAAAAGTTTGGTAATAAAACTGCCTTAGCAAAGATGTGAGAGACACAGGTATGCTAGTCCATTCTTGGCACAGCCTCTGGGTATAATGACATTGCAGCATCTAGCAAAGTTACACGTGTACTATCCTGTAACCGAGTAGTTCTGCTTCTGGGAATTTATTCTTCAGATTCACTTGTACAAATGGTACATGATGTATGTGCAAGCTCATTACTTGCAGCATTGTCTGTAATAATAAGGTTGGAAGCAATGTAGATGGACAAAATAGGGCATAAATTAAGGTGCATCCATACAAGGAAGCACCCTGTGGCCATACAGAATGGTAAAGGAGCTCTTTACTTACTGAAATGGAATGATCACCAAAATAAATTATGTAAAATCCACCTCCAAGCACATAAAGTATTGTAACATTTGTGTAGAAAGGTAGGAGAGGGGAGGATGTACATACAGACATTTGTGAAGACATACAATGGAAAGATAAAGCAAGATACTGACTACAGGAATCTCTAGCTACTTGAACTCAAAAATCAAAAATTCAGATAAACATTTCAGAAATATTTTAGCTATTGGTTGCATCTGAGGGCGTGGGAAACGAGGGTCAGGGATGGGGAGATAGTTTTCAGTGTATACCCTTGTAAGTCTTTGGTTAACTTTGAAAAGCTCTTTATTGTGGTATCAAACATACACCTTTTAAATTTGAATTATTAGATGTATTACTATTAAAAAATGAAAAATGGTATTGGAAAGATTGAATGAAACCAACCTGGTGCTTAGGGAATGAGTGCTAGTCTGGTTGGAAAGGATGACTAGCGTGGGTGGGGAGGAAAGGGAGACGGGGAGATGGAAAGCTATTAAAAAGGTTGGTGGACAGAAAAAGCTGATGGGTGCTGGGAGGGATGGACTAGATCCAGGGAAATAGGGGTGGAGGTAGCATTAATGAAATGGGAGCCTTTGTACTGAAAAGGAGAAAGGAACTTTAAAAATGTAATAGAAGGAGATATTCAGAAGAGGAAGGTTGGAAAAAAGGGTGTAATCTTATAACGTCCAAGTCATTTTAAATGAAAATTTGCCTACTTACAAACTTTATGCAGGACAGTTCCTTAAGACAGCCTGCCTCGGCTGGGTGCAGTGGCTCATGCCTATAATCCCAGCACTTTGGGAGGCTTAGGTGGGTGGATCACGAGGTCAGGAGATCGAGACCATCCTGACTAACCCACGGTGAAACCCCGTCTCTACTAAAAAAAAAAAAAAATACAAAACATTAGCCTGGCGTGGTGGCGGGCGCCTGTAGTCCCAGCTACTCGGGGGTCGGTGGGGGGGCAGCGGTGGGCTGAGGCAGAATGGCATGAACCCGGGAGGCGGAGCTGCAGTGAGCCGAGATCGCGCCACTGCACTCCAGCCTGGGTGACAGAGCAAAACTCCGTCTCAAAAAAAAAAAAAAGAGAGAGCCTACCGCCTCTTCTTCCCCGTGCCTGCCTTCCTCCTCGCTGACAGCTCAGCTCCGTCTATTCCAGGGGCTCCGTTGCTGCTGCTTGTGACCTGAGAGTTCAGCAGTGGGGGACACAAATGGGCTGCTCCCACGCTTGGTCTCGGAAGCATTCAGTCAAGAGGCTTGTTGTTTTAGGTGTGCCGAAGAATTGGCACAGATTCTCGTAAAATACGAAGTTCTTTTTTCTTACTGGCTGTGATTGATTTCTGATGAGTAGACAACATAGTGTTAATATAGATGTTTCTTCGAAGAATCCCTTACAGTTCAGAGAAAAAGCACTTGGGATTATAATAAATACTATTTTGAGCTGCTCGGTTAATTATTTAAAAACCAGGTGATATTTAACTCCTCAAAGTACATTAAGTTTCTTTTGGGTTACCTTCCGTATTAGTTCGTTTTTATGCTGCTGATAAAGACAAACCCGAACCTGGGAACAAAAAGAGGTTGACTTGGACTTGTAGTTCCACATGGCTCAGAATCATGGTGGGAGGCAAAAGGCACTTCTTATGTGTCGGTGGCAAGAGAAAAAATGAGGAAGAAGCAAAAGTGGAAACCCCTGATAAACCCATCAGATCTCGTGAGACTTATTCACTATCATGAGAGTAGCATGGGAAAGACCAGCCCCCGTGTTTCAGTTACCTGTGCCTGGGTCCCTCCCACAACATGTGAGAATTCTGGGAGATCAATTCAGATTGAGATTTGGGTGGAGACACAGCCAAACCATATTACCCTCTTCGGGGCCGAGTTTCCTAATTCCCTTCTCTTGGCTGTCAGATTTGGTTGGTTGGTCCTTTCATCTTTTAGGGCAGTGGTTTTTAACTTAGCTGGAGTCATAGATTCCACAGTGAATCTTCATAGAAATATATTTTATGGAATGTATGATTTTGCATGTATTTTGAGGGCCTCATGGTTCTCCTGATGCTCATTCCTAGGTTCTATGCTGTAGGTTAAGAATGTGTTTTTTTTAGGCTGGGCATTTTGGCTTATGCCTGTAATCCTAGACCTTTGAGAAGCCAAGGTGGGTGAATTGCTTGAGCCCAGGAGTTTGAGACCAGGCAGGGAAACATGGCAAAACCCCATCTCTATCAAAAAATACAAAAATTAGCTGAGGGTGGTGGCACATGCTTATAGGCCCAGCTATTGGGGAAGCTGAGGCGGGAGGATCGCTTGAGCCCAGGAGGTAGAGGTTGCAGTGAGCCAAGATTGTGCCACTGCACCCCAGCCTGTGAAACAGAGCCAGACCTTGTCTCAAAAAAAAAAAAAAAAGTTTTTTGTGTGTGTGTGATAAGAAATGGTCACTTAACAAGGTGAAGAACTAGCACTGTTCTGACAGGTAGGAAGCCTCAGCAGTCTTTGGTGCTTTTCCTGAACGGAAATATCCTGTCTGCTTTTCTTTTGTCTTAGGTTGTGAATGTGGGATACAGTCTAGGTTCCCAAAGGAGCAGTGTGGATCTGATTGGTCCCTCATGGACACATGATAGTGGGGAGCCTCCATCATGTTTGGGCCATGAGTGGACTGTGCCCTCTGGGTCACCATTCACTTTTCTCCTTTCTGCTCCAACCCTGCATTGCCAGGCAGAGGCCCAGAGTGCTGCAGCCAGGCAGTCTAGCATCTGGCTGGCAGACATTTCACCAACACATTTCAAGTTCTTGGCAATTCTCATGCCTCAAGCAGGGTCTTGGGCCTCCTAGTTTGCTACGAATCCACCACTCCCAGTTGTGTTTCTGGCCCTGACCCTCTTTGCCCATTTGCCCCATCCCTCTGAGGCATTTCAGTGGTGGTCTTCGGCCTGGGGTTGAGTGTGCGTAGGCTGGTGTTCCTTTCCCAGGGGGAACTGAGGTACTCGGCAGGAACCTTGAGGGCAGACATTAGGGGACTCCTAGTCTTTGTCCAGACCGGGGTTTCCTGGGATGGGTGGCAAGCGGGTCCTGGGGCACCCTTGCAGCCATCTTCATGACAAGCTTATAGAGGGCTTATCAGTCTGATGACTCCCGATGAAATTCCACCAGCATTCGTGGACGAGTGCCTCAATGCAAGAGTGCCTAACTCTCCAAAGCAAAAATTAATTTTAGAAAGAAAAAGCTTTCATTGTAAAGCCCGTGAGTAAATTAGGGTAAGTTAGTGACACAATCAACTGCAGCAAGGTGTTCTTTAGCAAAAGTTTGACAACTGTAGACTTCAGCATTTAATACAGATGCATCAATCATGAGTGCAAGCTTTTACATACTTATTACAACTTTATTTCCTTAGTATTTCATTTTCCTAACTTGTGTCTGTATGCTAGTGTTTGTTTAGGTATTAGTGTAATTTATTTATATAAACGTATTCTTTTTAAGCTGAAGCATTTGATTTGATTGCACAAGATGAAGAAGAATTTAATAAAGAACATCAATTTATACAGGTTTGTAATTATTTGTTTTATCCAAAATTTAAAATTTTTCCTGTATTAATGTAAGTGTAGGCAAAATGTTCATTTCTTTCTGAATATACAGTTAGTATAGAATTGCATATTTTTCTTATGGCTAGACAACTTCTGCTTTTTCCCTCATACTCTAAATTATTAATTGAAGATCATTGACATGCTGAAATATATCTTTAATTCACTTAAAATTGCTTTAATGGCATTAATGGATATTTCCATAGTTTATGTTTATTTTTTGAGACAAAGGCTTGCTGTGTCACCCAGGCTGGAGTGCAGTGGTGATCACAGTTCACTGCAGCCTCAAGCTTTTGGGCTCAAGTGATCCTCCTGCATCAGCCTCCTGTGTAGCTGGGATTGCAGGCATGTACTACCGCACCTAGCTGTTTTTTTATTTTTTATTTTTCGTAGTGATGGAGTCTTGCTACGTTGCCTAGACGGGTCTCGAACTCCTGGGTTCAAGCAATCCTTCCATCTTGGCCTCCCAAAGTGCTAGGATTACAGGTGTGAGCCACTGTGCCGGGCTGTATTTCTATAGTTTTAAAAATACGTTTTAAAGTGAGGCAGTCCTACATCCTGTTTGTTTTTTATGAAGATTCTTATTTATGACAATCTTCAATCTTATTTTGAAGATTCAAAATTTATGACAGTGTTTGATGAAGCAATAGATGAAGATAACATTCTTATTATTTTTCAGATGGGGTCTCGTCATGTTGCTCAGGCTGGTCTTGAACTCCTGGGCTCACACAAGTCTCCCATCTTGGCCTCCCAGGTAGCTGGGATTACAGGAAAGTGCTGTCATGAGCAACTCAAGATCGTGTGTATTATAACTCAAGTGTTCAGAAATACTCATTTTCCTCTACTGCACTTCATTAGCTGTGGTAGCTGATTATGCTTCAGTTTGTCCAATTTTTTTTGTCTAGTTTTTAAAAAATTACTTTTTAAATTTTCTTGTTAAGGCTTTTTTAGTTTTTGTATATTAGGACAACAGAAAAGTGACTTGCTGGGGGAAAGAAACGAAACAATAACTTTCTCCCTAGGAAGAAAACATAGATGCTCATAATGCTTCGGTCGCACTGGGCGATATGTCCTGGGGAGCTACAATTAATCACAGTCTGTTGAGGAAATCACATAGCACATCAGATTTGGATAAAGATGATGCCAGTTATTTACGTCTATCTTTAGGAGAGTTCTTTGCTCAAAGATCTGAAGCGCTTGGTTGCCTTGGTGGTGGTAACAATGTGAAAAGAGTAAGTATGGAATCTGCTGGGAGTACTCACAGTCACCAGATTTCAGATTTTGAGTATTATGATGGCAGAGTGACTTTAAAATGGAGATAGAACAGGATGGGACAGAAGAGTGGTAAAAAACTTAGGTTTCATCGTCAGTCAGCCCGTTACTGCAGTTCTAGCTCTGTCTTTTAGCTAGTTCTAGGACATTGAACAGTTTAACTCCTCTGTGCCTTAATTTCCCGTTTCTTAATAGCACAGTTTTATCGGGCTTTGTAAGATTTAAATGTGATGGTTCAGGTAAAGCATTTAGCGCTAAGCCAACGTGTGGTAAGTATTTAATAGTTGTTCATTGCTATTGTTATTGTTGGTTTGTGTGAAGAATTCTAAAATTGATTTTTAAAAACTATTGTCTAAAGAGATGTTTTGAAATATAGAAGTGTTTTGATGTAATTAAATGTAATGCATGTACAATTAAAAAGACACAAGTTATTCAGGTAGTGATAAGTCCTATAAAGCATGAGTGAGAAGAGGGAGTTACTTTAGCTGTACTGGTCAGGTTGACGTTTGGGGGAGGACATTGAGTTGGCATCTTAGTGATGAAAAGGAGGCAGCAGGCCGGGTACACTGGCTCACGACTGTAATCCCAGCACTTTGGGAAGCTGAGGTGGGTGGATCACTTGAGGTCAGGAGTTTAAGACCAACCTGGCCAACATGGCGAAACCCGTCTCTACCAAAAATATAAAAAATTAGCCGGATGTGGTGGCACATGGCTGTAATCCCAGCTACTCGGGAGGCTGAGGTAGGAGAATCGCTTGAACCCGGGAGGTGGAGAGTTGCAGTGAGTCGAGATCACACCACTGCACTCCAGCCTGGGCAACAGAGTGAGACTCCATCTTAAAAAAAAGAAGTGTTTTTTTGTAAGAAGAATTAAGACTTCTCCCTCCATCAGTGACCTGGCCTTTGTCTGTGTGCAGGCCTGGAGGCAGGAACCAGGGTGGCATATTGGAGGAATGGAAAGCAGGCAGGCAGAGCTGCTCTGAGGAGCAGGGTGGGAGGGTATGAAGGGAGAATGGCAGATGATTCCAAGGGCCAGATCATGAGGGCTCCTAGTAGGAGGGGGTTTTATCTCAGATGAACTAGGGGGAAGTGATTAAGGCCCAGGACAACTTCGTTGTGGTGCTGGCCCATCTCCAAGTGCAGCAGGCTGCCGCCATATGTTAGGTGCCCAGGTAGTGAGAGTCAGCAAAAGACAGAAGAGGGAAAGAAGCAGGCAAATGCTTAGGAAATGGGAGAGACGTGATGAAGGCTGGGGACAAGGGTGACCTAGTAGAAGCAGAGAAAAGGGCAGTAATTCAAGATTTATTCTATGGAGTCAAAGAATTTGTTGATAAATTCCACAGAGGGAATTAGGGTTATTGGAGGGAGTGTTTATCAAAACTGGATTTCATTAAGAGTATGATTTTGAAATAATAGACGTAGTGTTAGAAGTCACAGCTGATTCATAGAACTTTGAAATTGAACTGTGGTCTTGCTCAGTGCAGTCAATTGAAAAATGAAAATACTTTAGAAAGGTAGATTTTTCTGCTTGGATTGATTGTGACTTTGAGATTATGACAGAAGTTGAAGAGTAACTGAATTCCTTATTAATGGAATTATAGTAAGGAAAGGTAAGACGGACAGAGCACTGGATCATGAAAAAAAATTGGTCTGTTATTTGGAATTTTTGTTTTGGTATAAGTAATGAAGTTTTATTTGCATTCAAGTTACTGAATCAAGGAAAGAAATTCCCAAGTGGAGACCAGTAAAAAATTGAGTGCATTTAATGAGGTCACATTTTAGTTCTGTCAGGTGACTGCTGTATAAGAAAGCCAAGTGGAAACTGCCTACTCTTTAGCAAGCTCCTTGAATGCGAACCTTCCATACAAGTTGGTAGGAGCGTCCCTAATCCTAATACACATTTTTCAAGGATGTGTTTATTCTATAAAAGAAAGTACATTTGTTGTAATTTCCAGGAAGCAGGAGTTTTTATCTTTTTTCTCATTAATGTGTCACTGATGATTAAACAGTGCCTAACACATAATAGGTGTTCAGTAATAATTATTGGAGGAATGAAGTATCATTTCTGTGTTGTTTTTTTGAGACAGAGTCTACTCTGTTGCCCAGGCTAGAGTGCAGTGGCTTGATCTCAGCTCACCACAACCTCTGGTGCCTCCGCCCCCTGAGTACCTGGGACTACAGGCGCGCACCACCATCCCTGGCCAGTCTTTATAGTTTTAATAGAGATCAAGTTTTGCCAAGTTGGCCAGGCTGGTCTTGAACTCGTGGCCTCCCAAAGTGCTAGGATTACAGGTGTGAGCCACTGTGCTCGGCCTCATTTCTGTGTTGTTTTAATTTGAATTTCTTAGTAAGGGCAATTTATTTGACAATATGAGTTCTAATGATTAAAAGGTAGCTAGTATTAAGGAAATGAAAGGTTCTACCTGGACCTTTGAAGGTCATCTCTAGTAATTTGAGGTTAACTGGGAAGAACAGTTTTTTGATGTCATTTAGCTGTGTTACCACTATTAGATAAAATAGTCTGGAATTTCTCAAAGCAATTGAAAATCAAAGAAATAATTTACATTTAATTATTTTGTAGCCGTCATTTGGCTATTTTATTAGATCACCAGAGAAGACAGAACCTATTGCCTTAATAAGAAAATCCGATGTATCGAGAGGTGATTTGGAAAAAGAAATGGCTCATCTTAACCATGATCTATATTCAGGTAAAGGATTCAAAGAAGGGGCTTTTAGGAATCTTTTTTTTCCTTAAATGTGTAACTTAGGGGTTAAATGTGTGACCATGTTCTTTATGAGTGAAAATGTATATAACACTTTGTAGTTTCTCAGTGTTAGTTATAGATTTGATTCATATGTAACCTCATATATCCTTTTAAATCTAAAGTGGAAACAAGTCAGCCAAAATCTACCTAAATTTGTAAAAACCACAGTAAATAAAATAATTTCAAATGGGCTAATGTTGGCTGTTGAATTGTTGAGTTAGTTAATTGTAGATATATTTATTATTTAGGTTGACTTTTAAAGAGATGTTTTGAGATTTAGACGGTGATAATCTATGATAAATTTTTATGATGAATATCTATAATATTTTTAATCCGATGTTCTTGGTCAACTTAGAATTATCAAGCAGCTACTTTTTGTTAGTACAATGTCTTGTGCTACGTATCACATAAACTTATATAAGATAAGCTCCATTCCTTAAAGAGCCTGTATTCCAGTAGGGAAGTTGGGATGGGGGGTCCGTGTATACAAAGTCAGCTCATTTTCCATTTCTCTAAAGATGCACTCACTTCTTTCTTTCTTTCCTTCTCTTTTTTTTTTTTTTTTTTTTGGGACAGTCTGTCTTTTTTTTTTGGAGACAGAGTCTTTCTCTGTCACGCAGTGGCGTGATCTTGGCTCACTGCAATCTCCACCTCCTGGGTCAAGCGATTCTCCCACCTCAGCCTCCCGAGTAGCTGGGATCACAGGCTCACGCCACCACGCCCAGATAATTTTTTGTATTCTTGGTAGAGACAGGGTTTCACCATGGTGGCCAGGCTGGTCTCAAACTCCTCAAGTGATCTGCCCACCTCAGACTCCCAAAGTGCGGGATCACAGGCTTGAGCAATTGCACCCGACCAAGTAGTGCTCAGTTTTAAATTCAACTTATTGTATGTTTGTGAAATGTTTAAAGCTGAAAAATATTAAATGAGTTTGTATGTGCATTTGCAAGGGAGATATTAAAATCAACAATCCTCCTTCAAAGTTTGGACTCTGCAGCATTGAGCCAAATTAACTGTGTTGTTGTTCTCTGTCCAAGTGACTATACATTTAAACCGTTTTAGTGAAGGCAGCTGACATCTGGGGTACAAAGACATCTTCCTTGGTTATTAGTCATTTTGCCTGATCCTTATTCCACGGACTGTGTTTGCCAAATAGTATATACTTATAAGTTGAATATTATATATTTCCTGCAGGAGATTTAAATGAACAGTCCCAGGCACAGCTAAGTGAAGGATCAATTACACTTCAGGTTGAAGCAGTGGAGAGGACTTCACAAGTGGATGAAAATGATGTGACGTTAATGGCTGATAAAGGCAAAACAGAGGTAGCTTAAGCCTTTCGTAAGGAAATCTAAGATTGTATTGTTGTAGTTCTTATATAGGATCAAGACGAGATCACCTGTGAAAAATATGTGCAGTTTAGCATGTTTTCTTTCCTGGCTTCAAATTTCTTGCAAGTGTCCTTTAAATTTTTATTTTGAAGTTTTTGTTGTGATATACACACAGATGAGTTTATAAAACAGATTTGTAGTCAGTGAATGAATGATCACAAGGCATACACTTGTGTACACGTCAGATCAAGAAAGAACATTACCAACAGCCCAGAAACAAGTTTTTTTGCCGCCTCCAGTTACCTGACCTTTAACCCTGTATTAATTTTATCTGATTCTGAACTTCACATAAAAGAAACCATGTGGCATGTGTTCCTTTTCTTTGACTTTTTTCACCTCATCTTACATTTGTTTAGATGAGTATAATAGAAACTTATTTTTATTACTGTATGGTATTCTGTTATATGAATATTCTGTTGCTTTTATATCCATTTGTGAACATTTGGGATATTTCCACTGCTGGACAATTATAAAACAATGCTCCATGAACAGCCTAGTACCTGGGAAGTGTGCACACATTCATGTGAGTTGTGTGTGTATGTTGTAGGGTTTGCGTAACTTCACTTCAGTGGTTTTGACAGTTTTCCAGAGTGGTTGTACCATATAGATTTGTTCAAGAGTGTGTGCTTCCTGTCACTGCACATCCTCGCCAGCACCTGGCTTTCCTCGTTATTCTGGTGGGTGCACAGTGGGGCCTTCTTGTCTTCATGTGCATTTCTCTGATTACTAAGAAAGCTGGTTCTTGCTCATGTTTGCTGTCATTTGGAGGCTTATTTTGTGAAGTTCCTGTCCAAGTCTGTTGCCCATTTTTCCAATGGACAGTTTGTTTTTTTGATTTATAGGTGTTCTTTACATTGGATAGGAGCCTTTTGTCAGTTATGAGTGTTCCATGTGTCTTCTCCCAGTCTGTGGCTTACCTGTTCACGTTTTTAGTGGTATTTTTATTTGTTGATTAGTTCATGCTTTCATTATTTCTCTTATGTGTTAACTTTATCATAAATCAAGTTCTATGACATTGTTGGTATATTTCTAGAGTCTCTGTTGTGCTTCTTTGGTCTGTTTGTCTTGTGTCAAGATGACACTTGAATATTGTAGCTTTATTATAATAAGTCTTGCTATCTGGAAGAGTAAATACTCTCCTATGTTTCCTTAAAAGTCTCTTGGCTATTCCTGGCCCTTTACATTTCCGTGTGTGCCTTACAGTCACGTGGTCAGCTTCTACACACCAGCCACTAACCACCAGCAACCCTGTTGGACTTTTTTGGGGATTAAATTTAATTTATGGAACAGTAAAATTGACATCTTTATAATAATGTGTTTTCTAATCCATGAAACTTACATATTACTTCATTTATATGTTTTAATTTCCCTTTGTATTCTGTGAGTTTTGTGCAGATTTTTCACGTCATCTTGTTAGATTTCTTCCCAAGTTGTTGAAACTTTTACTTTTAATTTTTGTAGGTACATAGTAGATGTATAGATTTATGGGGCACACGAGATGTTTTGGTACAGGCATGCAATGCATAATAATCACATCATGGTAAGTGGGTTATCCATCCCCTCGAGCATTTATCCTCTGTGTTATGAGCAATACAATTATATACTATCAGTTATTTTTAAATGTACAATTATTTTGACCCTGTTGTGCTATCAAATGAAACATTATTTTAGTATTATGTTTCTTAACTTTATTTTCTGTTTGTTTTGGCTAAACAAATACACAATTGTATTTGTTTTTTAAATATACTCACCTTATATCCAGCACATTTACTTATTAACTCTAATTATCAACTCTATGGATTTCCTATATACATAGTTTTTCATCTGAGAATAGAAGTTTTATTTCTTCATTTTTAATTTTTATGCCTTTGTTTCTTTGTCTTGCCTTCCTTGACTGGATGGACCTCAGAACAGTGTTGATGTCATGATGTTGGGTTTCCCTGATTCAGTGGGAACTCTTTTTTGGTATTTCATCTTTAAATTTGATGCATGCTGTAAGGTTTTTGTTTTGTTTTGTTTTAAATTACTGGATCAACAAAGTGGTCTTCTAATCTTTGTTCACTAGTTTTTTGTTCTGTTTTGGTGTCAGATGCTTTTCTGGATCTGTTAAGAACTTGAGCTTGCTCTGTTTTGTTGATGTGATGAATTTTATGAAATGGTTTTTGAATATTAAACTATTCTTTTATACTTGGAATAAACCTCACTAGGATTGTAATGTGTTATCTTTTGATATATCATTGGATTGGGTGTGCTAATAGTTTGCTTAGAATTTTGCATTTTTGTGAGTGAGATGAATGACTTTTCATATAATGTTCTTGTCTGGTTTTGGTTTCAAGGTTTTACTGGTCTCATTTTTTCTGTTTTCAGGAAGAGTTTTTGTAAGGTTGGTGCTTTTTAAAAGATTTTGGTAGAATACATTAGTGAAATCACTTGAGTCTGGTATATTCTTTTTTATGTATTTTTATCTTTTTTTTTTATTTTTTGAGATGGAGTCTTGCTGTGTCGCCCAGGCTGGAGTGCAGTGGTGCGATCTCGACTCACTGCAAGCTCCGCCTCCCAGGTTCATGCCATTCTCCTGCCTCAGCCTCCTGAGTAGCTGGGACTACGGGCACCCACCACCACGCCCAGCTAATATTTTGTATTTTTAGTGGGACGGAGTTTCACCGTGTTAGCCAGGATGGTCTCCATCTGCTGAACTCGTGATCCACCCACCTCGGCCTCCCAAAGTGCTGGGATTACAGGCGTGAGCCACCACGCCCAGCCGTCTGGTATATTCTTTATCTAATGCCTTTAATTGCAGATTCAATTTTCTTTAATAGTTGTAGTACTATTCTGATGTTTTAATTTTTTTATGTCAGTTTTAGTAAATTGTAGTTTTCTAGAGATTATAAGCTTCCTCTACACTTGAAAATTTATTTTACTGTCATGCTGACCATAATATCCTCTTGTGATTAATATTTTAGGTTGTTAAACTATGTCTCTTTTGTTATTTCTATAATTGACTGTTTTGCCTCTCTTTTTCTTAGTCTCACCAGATACTTTCAGTTTTGTTAATTTGTCAATTTTATTTATTCTCAATTTTGTTTGTCTTTCTATTTCATATTTTCTGGTCTGCATTTATTTCCTTCTGCTTTCTATGGATTTAATGTGTTGTTGTTCTAACTTTTTGAGATGGATGCCTAGTGTGCTTATTTTTCTGCCTTCCTGCTTTTTCAGTGGTGTAAGTGCATTGGATGTGTGTAGATTTTCTAATTTTTGAAATAATTGATTTTAGGCCAAATGTACTGTAGTCAGAGAATGTTTAGTTTTAGACCTTTGAAATTTGTTTAAATATGATATACAGCTCAGCATTTGTTCAGTTTTTGGAAGTATTTTCTGTACGCTTGTAGGGAATGTCTGTTATGTGACTTAATGTCTGTCTCACTTAGGTGAGATTGATTTAGATCGGGATGCTCAAGCTGCCTGCATTCTTAAAATTATTGTGCTATTCTTTTAAAATCTCCCACCATGATTGTGGGTTTGTTCATTAATCATTAGAGGTATAGCAACATTTGCTTTAAACATTTGAAGCTGTATTTTTAGGTGCATACAAATTGCGCATAAAATTTGTTGCATTAAATTCTTCATAAAATTGTTTTGGTGCATAAAAATTGTTGTTGCTGACAAATCAAATCCTTTATTGAGCATGTCTCCCTCCTAAATCTAGTCTGAGATTAACAATATCAATACCAGCTTTCTTTGGTTAGTGTTAGCATGTTATATTTTTTGCCATTATTTTACTTTTAATCTTTCTGTGTCCTTATATTTCAGATGTTATAGGGACGTACTGTTGGATTTGTTTTTCAACCAGTCTGGCAGTCTGTATTAGGCTGTTACTTGCATTGCTATCAAGAAATACCTGAGACTGGGTAATTTATAAAGAAAAGAGATTTAACTGGCCCATCGTTCTGTGGGCTGTATAGGAAGTGTGGTGTGGGCATCTGCTTGGCTTCTGAGGAGGCTTCTGAAAGCTTGCAGTCATGGCAGAAGGCGAAGCGGGAGCAGGCACGTCACGTGGCCAAAGCAGGGATGGGGAAGGTGCCACACACTTTAAACAAGCAGGTCTTAGGATAGCTCATTGACTACCGCAAGATAACACCAAGCCATGAGGGGTCCACCGCCATGACCCAGACACCTCCCACTTGGCCTCACCTCCGACACTGGGGATTACATCTCAACATGAGATTTGGAGGGGCATCCAAACTATATCACTGTCTTTCTACTTACACTTAATGGAATTTCCAATACATGGGGGTTTGAATCTGCTCACTTTATTTGCTTTTTATTTGGTTCGCCTAGACTTTGTTCTTTTTCTTCTGGCTTTCTTTGAGATCGTTTAAGAGTTTTATATGATTCCAATTTTCTCCTCTGTTGATTTGGTAATTATATATATTTATATTATTTTAATGATTACCCAAATAATTATAACCTGTCTCTTGGCTTACTGATGTTTAGTAAAAATTCTTTGTTTTCTTTTAAATGTCTTACTTGGCATTCCAGGCATCACAAAATACTCATTTTACTCCATACTTAAAAAGCTTTTCTTGTATTATGTTTTACTTCTATACTTAACCCAGTAAGATATGATGATGGTTTATAAATAACCAATATTTCTGATGTTTCATCTGAGGTTAGTTTTCTTCTTAAAGAATATCCTTACTTTTTTTTTTTTTTTTTGTAAGGGACTGCTGATAATGAATTTTGTTTGTTGTCTCTCTGAAATGTCTTTATCTCCCTGTTACTCTTGCTGTGTATTTTTGCTTGCTATAGAATTGTTAGGAGCAACTTTTAGCACTTTGAATGTATTTTTTCATGTCATTTCATTTTAAAAGTTGGCTGTTGGTCTTTTGTTATTTTTCTCTTTGGTTTTTATCCATCTTACTGTGATGTGCTTGGGTAGCTTTTGTTTTACCCTACAGTTTAGAGGAAAAATCTTTGAAATAATTTGAGGCTAAGGGAGATGATATCTTCCAGACTGGATTTATGTCTGCTTCTGACAGGGAGCAAGGAACACTAGCAATTGCAGATCACTTTCATTCATTTATTGGAATCAAGCTGATTGGAGCTGAGCCTCATCCTTATGAGAACCAGTCAGATGCTGATTTACCTTTATGGCTGGAGTGTATCTCTTTGTCGTCTCATCCCAAAGCATGGATGTTTTACTGTGGTATCTTTCTCTCCCTCAAACATATACACACGTGCACCTTCTAATCCCCCAGTGGGGGGATTGGCAGACTCAGTTTTTTATACCTGCATTCCCACAAGAACAACTTTGCTTAGCCTTTTCTTGAAGCAGCAGATACGCTTAGGGAACAGCATCCCCAGTGTTGGGCTTACCTCTCTGGGTTGCTTTCTTCTCTTAGATTTTGGCCCCATAAATATACACGGCTTTTTAAGCTTGCTAGTCCTTTCAAAGATAAGTTTTTGCATATGCTATTCAGTTCTAATTGTTCCTAGCAAGAGGTTGGTTTGCTTTACTTAGTCTGCTATTACTGGAGGCAGAGGTCTTAATTATTTTTGTTGTTGTTGTTAAATAGTTTATGGTTCTTAACTGTTGGGCCCATTTCAGTTTTTTACTCAGGGTTCCTATTTATGTCTTGCTTATCAATAATTCTAACAGTTGAATGAAATTACCAAGAATTATACTTGTCGTCACAATGACTCAGTGGCTTTTCAATCTCAATATCTTAAGTTTTTGGTTTTAAATTATTATCTGATTCAATTTTACCATGTCTTTCATTCCTGATGATTTTTTAAAAACAAAGGTAATCAATTTGATAAATAACCTGGTACTATATAATTAAAGTTGATGGCAGCTGTCTTTTTCATTAGGATATTTAGCTGGTATGCCCTTAATTTTTTTGTTGCCATTAAATCCTACATCGTGGTTATAAAGATCAAATTAGTACAGTAGCCCCCTCTTTTCCACAGTTTTGCCTTCTGCAGTTTTGGTTACCCGTGGTCAACTGTGGTGCAGAAATATTCAGTGGAAAAGTCCAGAAATAGTTTGTAAGTTTTAAATTATATGTCATTCTTAGTAGCATGATGAAATCTTCCCACCAACTTGCTCCATCCTGGTAGGATGTGAGTCTTTCTTTTGTCCAGCTTCTCTACCTGTATTCACTTGTTGCCTGTTAGTCACTTGTAGTGTTTGGTGATCGGATCAACTCTAGTGATATTGCAGTGCTTGTGTTAAAGTCACTCTTATTTCATATGGCCCCAAAGTGCAAGAGTAGTGTTGCCTGCAATTTGGATACACCAAAGAGAAGCTATCAGGTGCTTCCTTCAAGTGAAAAGGTGAAGGTTCTCCACTTAATAAGGAAAGAAAAAAAATGCTGAAGTTGCTGAGACCTATGGTAAGAATGATCTTCTTTATGTGAAATTACAAAGAAGGATAGAGAAATTCATGCTTTGCACTCCAGACTTCAAACGTTCCAACCACAGTGAGTGAGAAGTGCTTAGTTAAGATGGAAAAGGCATTACATTTGTGGGTGGAAGGTAGGAACAGAAACATGCTCTGATTTACGGCAGTTGGATTTGGTACTATCTGAGGTTTCAGGTATCCACTTGGAGGTCTTGAAATGCGTCTCCCAATGATAATGGGGGACTAATGAATGTTCATGAAACTGGGGTAAATTGATCTGATGTTTAATTTTCTCACTTCTAGGACACTTTCTTTATGAGCAACACACCCCAAAGATACAAAGACAAGCTACCAGACAGTGGCGATTCTGTGCTTAGGATCAGCACCATTGCGTCAGCCATTGCAGAGGCATCAGTTAATACGGATCCTTCCCAACTTGCTGCTATGATCAAGGCACTTTCAAATAAAACCAGAGACAAGACTTTTCAGGAAGATGAGAAACAGAAGGACTGTTCTCACGTGTGTCATTTCTTAGCTTATGATTTAGAAAAAAGTAATGGATCCAATGTGTTTGATATGGAGAAGTACCTTAAAAAAACTGAAGTTAGTAGATATGAAAGTGCATTGGAAAACTTTTCAAGGACTGGTATGTCTGATACTTGGGATTTATCTTTGCCCAAAGAACAAATTACTCAAGACATTCATACAGTGGACTTAAGTGCTACTAGTGTAAGTGTGAGGGAACCAGAAGAAAACACAGCAGCTATTGTTTATGTTGAAAATGGAGAGAGTGAGAGTCAAGAGTCGTCTAGAACCGTAAACTCTTCAAATTCAGTTACAAATGTGAGAGAGAATAGCAGTGCAGTAGTTGACGTGAAGACACGTTCCATTGACGACAAATTACAAGATGTTGGTAACAATGAAAAAACTACCTCAGTTTCCACTCCATCTGATAGTTATTCATCAGTGAGGAACTCCAGAATAACATCCCTTTGTCTGTTAAAAGAGTGTGAAGAAATACGAGATAGTAGAGAAAATCAGAGGCAAAATGAGTGTGTCAGTGAAATAAGCAACAGTGAGAAGCATGTGACTTTTAAAAACCATTGCATAGTCTCACCTAAAAATAGTGGTAAGTGTCTGAGTTGTTGGTCACATTCATAAAATTACAAAGTTTATTTTCTCTTCTCACTGGAAAATACCCCTTTCTGATAGATTTGAAAAATCTCTCTCCTGAGCATGGTGGACGTGGCTCAGAGGATGAGCAGGAGAGCTTCAGACCTTCCACATCACCACTGAGTCATTCTTCTCCCAGTGAAATTTCCGGAACAAGTTCATCAGGGTGAGTGTGTACCTTCTTTTTAAAAAAATAAAAATAAAAATTTGTGCTCAGCATAGGAAATTGGGGAAAAAATGTGTAAAGAAGAAAAATTACTCATCTATGCATTCATCTCTCAAAGGTAACTCTTGTAAGCTGTGAATTTCTTTCCATTTTTCTATGCAAATTTTTGTATACTGCTTTTTCTTTTACTCATTATAACAATCATTCTCTGAATTTAAAAGAAAACTAGTAATGTTACAGACTACCTAATGGATCTGTCGTGGTTCATTTGATGCTTCTGGTGAATACTTTATATCTTAACTTTTGCTATCTAAATGATATTGCTATCTAAATGAATAACTTTGTTTATAAAATTTTAATTTTATGAATGTCTTTTGTGGCTTTATAAAAGATCTTTTATGTGTTTATTGAAAGAGTATAATAAATGGAAAAATTTGCCTAACCAGCAAAATTATCAAATATGTTAAATATAGTTTTGATTTGTTTCAAAATATCGGATTTCAAAGATACCTATTAGCTGTTTCCCAAGGTGCCGTTAAAGTTTTTCATGTTCATCTGAAGCGACATGGTATGGTTCAGCTGGTGCTAAATGTCAGTGGAAAGCTGAGTTCTTTCTGTGACTCCTTATGGATGCCTCAGTTTGAAACACTTTCATATACACAGTCACTTCTTATGTAATAGTTGATTGCCTTTTTTTTTTTTTTTTGAGATGGAGCCTCACTCTGTGGGCCAGGCTGGAGTACGTTGGTACAATCTTGGCTCACTACAACCCCTGCCTCCCGGGTTCAAGCAATTCTCCTGCCTCGGTCTCCTGAGTAGCTGGAACCACAGGCACATGCCGCCTTGCCTGGCTAATTTTTATATTTTTAATAAGAGATGGGGTTTCACCATGTTGGCCAGGCTGGTTTTGAACTCCTGACCTCAGGTAATCCACCTGCCTCAGCCTCCCAAAGTGCTGGGATTACAGGCATGAGCAACTGTGCTCGACCTGCATATTTTAACAGATTTATTACTAGTCATCCAGCCCAAAGCAAATTTGAAGATGATCTGGCTGTGATACGGTGTAGTATGTTTACAATCTTTGGCTTACACGTTCTTCCCTTATGTTTCTTACCGGTATTGCTTTACTCTCCCTATGGAAGACTAGAGGGATATCTGAGACTAGCCTGATTCTTTTTGGCTTTGAATTGACTTGATGTTTTTGCAAGTTTTTGCCAAAATTCTTTATTTTTCAAGTCTAATAATTGTATTAGGCTGTATGTCTGTGTTGATTCTTCGTTGTTACTTTGCTCTATCATCATACAGTATACCCTTTCAGTGTGTCTCCCCTTTTATTTTGCATGTGTTCTTGCAGTTCACTTTTCATTATTTTAGGTAATTTCACCTAAATGCATTTGTTCTTGTCAACCAAAGGAGTCAAATGAATACAACACATCATCCAGTGACTCAGAACATTTTCCGTGCTATATCATGCTGTGTGTATGTGTTTGTGTGTGTGTGTGCGTGCGTTTGTGCGGGTGTGCATGTGGATACAGAAACCCATGTAGGTGCATGTCATGGGGGAGCTAGAGAAGGCCTGAAGCAGTTTGGTAGGTAATACTTTGTTGCCATTGGTTAGAAATTTACTAACTGGTATTTTGACAATACCGTCTTGATTTGGGACTTTTTACTTTTATTTTTATTTTTATTTTTATGAGACAGAGTCTTGCTCTGTGCCCAGACTGGAGTACAGTGGTGCAATCTCGGCTCACTGCAAGCTCTGCCTCCCGGTTCACGCCATTCTCCTGCCTCAGCCTCCTGAGTAGCTGGGACTACAGGCGCCTGCCACCACGCCCGGGTAGTTATTTATTTATTTATTGTTATTATTTTTTTGAGACAGAGTCTCACAGTCTCGCCCAGGCTGGAGTGCAGTAACGCAATCTCGGCTCACTGCAAGCTCCACCTCCTGGGTTCATACCGTTCTCCTGCCTCAGCCTCCCGAGGAGCTGGGATTACAGGCGCCCGCCACCAAGCCCAGCTAATTTTTTTGTATTTTTAGTAGAGATGGGTTTCACCATGTTAGCCAGGATAGTCTCAATCTCCTGACCTCGTGATCTGCTTGCCTTGGCCTCCCAAAGTGCTGGGATTACAGGCGTGAGCCACTGCGCCCAGCCCACACCTGGCTAATTTTTTGTATTTTTAGTAGAGATGGGGTTTAACCATGTTAGATAGGATAGTCTCGATCTCCTGACCTCGTGATCCACCTGCCTCGGCCTCTCAAAGTGCTGGGATTACAGACATGAGCCATGATACCTGGCCAATTTGGAATTTTTTAAAAGTTCAGAATTCAAATTTGAATTTTCCATGTGCGTCCATTGCCTAGCTGAGTATTCTGAACTTTGTACAAAGAAGAAAGATGGTGGAATCCAGTCAAGTGAAGGGCTGAATTCAAGCTAACCAGCAGAGCATAGGTGTGGAGACTGTTTCCAAAGGTGGCTTGACGCTTATTTCCTATCCCCTGTGCTCTTTTGCACTGTGACTGTGCCGCTTTCCCTCAAGAGGTGCAGTCCGTTTCCCGCTCCTTGCGTCTCGGCTGGCAGCCCTGTGAAAGATGCTAATGGACAGAATGATGAGGAAGTGACTCTGGTGTGTTTGCAGATAGATGTAAGACTCTCTATTTGTCGCTTTCTGATCTTTTCATTTCACGTTGTATAGCAGGGACATCTTCCAGAAGCAAGGCTGGAACAGCATGCTTTTGAATGGCTGCATAGTGTTGTGTTGCATGTTTGTGCCCTAATTTCTGTAGCTCACTTCCTCCTGGGGAATCGGATCTAAGATTTCCCACTTATTGTCCACAGTGATGTGATGACATGTCCTTTTTGTGAAGTCTTTATATTTATCATTAATTTTTTTTCTCAGGATAAATTCCTAGATGTAGAATATCTTGAGTCAAGAGGCCTTTGATATATACTGCTTAATTGCTCAACTGAAAGTTGTACCACTTGATAGTCCCACAGTGGTGTGTGACTGTTCCCATTTCTTTGCATTTATCTGCATGATTTTTTTTTTCCTCTTTGCTCGTTGAGGGTTGGAATTCTTCTGTTCATTTCTCTGTATGAGATACTTAGTAAATTTTTATTTATTTTATTTTATTTTATTTATTTATTTATTTATTTATTTTATTTTTTGAGACAGAGTCTCGCTCTGTCACCCAGGCTGGAGTGCAGTGGCCGGATCTCAGCTGACTGCAAGCTCCGCCTCCCGGGTTCACGCCATTCTCCTGCCTCAGCCTCCTGAGTAACTGGGACTACAGGCGCCCGCCACCTCGCCCAGCTAGTTTTTTTGTATTTTTTTGGTAGAGACGGGGTTTCACCGTGTTAGCCAGGATGGTCTCGATCTCCTGACCTCGTGATCCGCCCGCCTCAGCCTCCCTAAGTGCTGGGATTACAGGCGTGAGCCACCGCGCCCGGCCAGTAAATTTTTATAGAATGAATAGCTAACGTTGCTGTGTGTCTTTATATGGTATTTATTAATGAAAATGCCACAATACAGTTACAGTTGCTTAAGAGAGGCTTCATTCAATGGGAATATTTTTTATAGTTTTAGATAATTAAGTGTAAACCTTGAATTAGAGGTAGTTATTTGCAAGATTATAGGCTCATAGGAATGGTTTTTTGCTTATGTAGATAGTTGAAGGACTGGAGAACTGCAGGTGTGAGCTCCTCTTCTCTTTCAGGTGTGCGTTAGAGTCCTTTGGTTCAGCAGCTCAGCAGCAGCAGCCTCCCTGTAAGCAGGAGTTGTCTCCCTTGGCGTGCTCGCCTGCTGGGGTGAGCAGGCTGACGTATGTGTCTGAACCAGAGAGCTCCTGTCCTGCCACAACCACAGATGATGCCCTGGAGGACCGCAAGGTGGGCAGCCACTTGGATGATTTATTATTAAGGCTTTGTTACAGATGTTTGATTCAGACAACAGTTCAAGCCTATATAACTTCTGTGTTGCTCTTTTACCTTTAAAATGATTTTTGTATTCGTGTGCACATATTAAATCCCTACTCATGCTAGTAGGCACAGAGGTACAAACATTTTAGGATCTGCCCTGGAAGAGCTCTGTCTGGTGAGGCACACTGTGTAATGAAGTGCGTCATGCTGCGCGTGTACTATGGGGACCAGAAGGTGGTGGTTGGAAGTCTCACTGCCTTTGCTTCAGCAAAGGTTTCTGCAGGGATAAGTACACTGAAGCCACACTTTGCCTGACTGCTAGGAGTTAGGCAACAGGGAAGCAGAGTTAACACATGGGGAGGTGGAGAGCTGTAAGATGCAAACTGATCTGACGCACTCCGGGAAGTTTAGAACAGCCACAGTGAATCATGTCAATGGGGACAAGTGGATGAGGCTGGAAGGGGGGGGACCAAACTGGGAAGGGTGCTGGGTTTAAAACATGGGAGTTTGAAGGCTTTTAAGCAGGTCACTGTCATGATCTGTTTTGATTTCATTTTGTTTGTGTATTTTTTAGAGATGATCTCGCTCTGTCACCCAGGCTGGAGTATGGTGGCACGATCACAGCTCACTACAGCCTAGGACTCCTGGTCTCAAGTGATCCTCCTGCCTCAGCCTCCCAAGTAGCTGGGACTACAGGTGTGCACTGCCACACCTGGCTAATTTTTCATTTTTTTTGTAGAGACAGTGTCTTGCCATGTTGCTCAGGCTGGTCTTGTACTCCTGGGCTCAGGTGTTCCTTCTGCCTTGACCTCTCAAGTAGCTGGGACTACAGGTGCCTACCACCACACCTGGCTAATTAAAAAAATTTTTTTAGAGGTGGGGTCTTGCTGTGTTGCCAGAGCTTGTCTTGAACTCCTGGCCTCAAGCGGTCTTCCTGACTTGGCCTCCCAAAGTGGTGGGATTACAGGCATGAGCCACCAAGCCCAGGCTGGTTTGATGTTTTAAAAGCTCACTCCAACAGCTGTGAGGAAGGAGGGACCAGTAGGAGCAAAATTAAAATAGGAGATTTGACACGAGACCGCTGTAGTGGTTTAGGCAAGAGACAGTGGATGCTTGGGCCAAGACAGTAACAGTGGGGATAGAATAGAAGAAGAGCAGAGAGAGTTATGTGGGAGAAGCTAGTGTTACCTGTTGTTGTGTGTGGAATTGTTCAGTTTTTTACTGAGCGGACTGACTGCTGTGGGTATGCTGCGTAGTCTTCCTCCACCAAGCTGCTGGAGAGTTACTGAATACACAGCACAGTGTTAGGGCGTTACACCCCTTCCTTTGAAAGCTGTCTTTTTCATGTTGTTGTTAGATACTGAGTCTGCGTGTTCTTAGCGTAGTGGTTGAGAGCTGGGTTATGGTGTCAGATAACTTATCTTCTGCTGCCTCCTCAGACAGATTACTAAACCTCCCTCAACCTGTTTCTTCATCTGTAAGGAGGAATAGTATGTGAGGGCAGTGCTTGTCACCTAGTAAGTCACCACGGGATACATGTTATTTGTTATTATTGCTTGGCAGATAATATAGTCTTTGTTTCTTAGTGTCTGTATTTCTGAAGCTTTGGCCAGGAGAAATTTATAAACCAAGTACCAGAGCAATCAGTGAAGGTTACGTCTGTCTAGTCTGTAAATTTCAGCTGGTCTGTCCTGCAGAGCTGCAGATGTCACTCCTCAGATTATGCATTATGTACAAAGAACTGAGTGTGGACGTTTACCAGGACTGTTAACTTCATGCTTCATAGAGCCACACAAGTTTAGAAATGGGAGAGGACTTAGAACACATAAAAGTTAACATCTTTGGCCGGGCGTGGCGGCTCATACCTGTAATCCCAGCACTTTGGGAGGCTGAGGCAGGCAGATCACCTGAGGTCAGGAGTTCAAGACCAGCCTGGCCAACATGGTGAAACCCTGCCTCTACTAAAAATACAAAGAAATAGCTGGGTGTGGTGGCGGGCCCCTGTAATCCCAGCTACTTGGGAGGCTGAGGCAGGAAAATGGCTTGAACCCGGGAGGTGAAGGTTGCAGTGAGCTGAGATTGCGCCATTGTACTCCAGCCTGGGCAACAAGAGGGAGACTCTGTCTCAAAAAAAAAAAAAAAAAAAAGTTAACATCTTTGAGTGTTCAAGCCCAGGCAGTAGCATGGACAGATGGTGGAGTGGGGCCCTGCCAGCCTGCTGAGCCGCCGCCTGACCTCAAAGTCGTTATCATTTCAAGCTTGCTCGGCCCCCACTCCTTCGCTACTAATTTATTTAGATTTTTATTGTAAAGTTTATAGAAATCCCTTAAATCCTCAAAAAGTTACTAGACTCTAGTCCTTTATCTGTGCAAAATTTTCAGATATTCTTAGTGTATACCTATTTTCCTCATAGTATAATTCCTTTTACAAAACAACAAACACACATTTTCTAATGTAAGTCTGCATTTCACAACTGCAAGACTACTATTTTTGTGTAAAACAATGTTTTTTCAAAGAGAAACCTCATGCACATCTCTTTGTTACTTGAGCTTTTACCAGCATCGTTTCAATTTGTTGTATTAAGTTTTTCTGTGGATTATTAAAAACAAATTTTCTTGCACTCAGAGTGATATCACCAGCGAGTTGAGTACCACAATTATTCAAGGCAGTCCAGCCGCATTGGAGGAACGGGCTATGGAAAAATTGAGAGAAAAAGTTCCATTTCAGAATAGAGGAAAAGGAACATTATCATCTATTATCCAGAATAACTCTGATACAAGAAAAGCAACTGAAACCACTTCTCTGAGTAGCAAGGCTGAGTCTGTAAAACCTGACTTTAAATGGAGTAAAGATCCCTCCTCCAAAAGTGGAAATCTGTTGGAAACCAATGAGGTAGGTTTGACATCAAACCCTGAAGAAGTGGACCTGATCAGGCTGGCTCTCCTGGGCAAGTCAGGTCTGAGCTGTCAGGTGGGGTCAGCCACATCACGTCCTGTGTCCTGCCAGGAGCCTGTAGATGAAGATCAAAGAATAATTCCTAAAGATAAGTCAACTGCTGGCCGTGAGTCCGGGGGCCAGGTTTCTCATCAGACCACCTCTGAAAACCAGTGCACTCCTGTTCCCAGCAGCACAGTTCGCGGCTCTGTGGCTGACGTGCAGGACGTGCCTGCTGCTGTGCACGCGCTCTTGGCGCAGCCCCCTCTCAGCACAGCTCCCTTTGCTCAGCGGTATTTGGGAACGCTCCCTTCGGCTGGAAGCACCACCTTGCCTCAGTGTCATGCTGGCAGCGCCACAGTCTGTGGCTTCTCAGGAGGCCTCCCCTACCCAGCCGTCGCAGGAGAGCCTGTGCAGAGCTCGCTGGCTATGGGGATTTGTCTGGGGTCAAATATCGGCTCTGGATGGACGGGCCCCTCTTCCCTCTGTAACCCGTATTCTAATACCTTAAATCAGAACCTGCTAAGCACAACAAAACCTTTTCCTGTGCCGTCTGTTGGTACCAACTGTGGAATTGAACCATGGGATTCAGGAGTGACATCAGGATTGGGTAAGATGCTCTTTCTCTGTTTTGTTGCTTGGTATTATTTTCTCAAATGACACCACAAAGCTGGTTTGTTCCAAGGAGTTACTGGTTTGCATTAATTCCTTGTAAGTTTTGTGCTTCTTCCTAAACTGAGAACACCATATATTTCTGTGCAAACATCCCTGAAGTTGGCTTAGAAAAATGCTACACTTATGCAGGTGACAGGCTGCCTGTGGCTCTGCCTTCCTCATCTCTTTTTTGCTCTGCCGTTGCAGTTTTGTGATTATTTCACCTAGGAAATGTCCAGTTTAGAGTTGAATCCCAGAATGAGCGAGTGCCTCCACCTTGTGAGTCTCTGGGTGGCTGTTGTGGGGAGAGGCAGCACTCTCAGGTGCATGTGTGGGGCAGCTTCTCTCGGGGAGCTGTGCTTTTACTGACACGGTACACACGGCCACTGGGCTACTGTCTTCTCTGCCCTCCAGAACAACTGCACGAGGACGTTGGAAGATAGGTGGCAGCAGTAAAGTCTGATAAGTGTCTACGTCTGGAAAGTTAGAGCCTCTGGAGTTCTTTGTTTTTGTTTTTTGTTTTGTTTTGTTTTGTTTTAGGATAAGCAGTGACTTATAATTTATGAGAGGAAAGGAGATTACTTACAGGCAGTAACCTCAAAGAATTGATTAGCTGTAATTGTGAGTTGGATCCAGTTTTAATTTTCTTTTCCTGGGCTGGACGGAAGCAGGAAAAAATTGTAGGCAGGTGTCTGAGGCTCATGCAACATCAGGGACTCCCTCATCAGGAGCACTGTGACTCTAGCTCTTAAGTGTAAACGGCCGTCATGTAAACTCATTGCCGTTTAACAGATTTGGCTTATAATCAGGGGTTTGCTGTAACGTGCATTTTTGTGCCTTCTTCTCACCCAGGGAGTGTCCGAGTGCCGGAGGAGTTGAAGCTTCCTCACGCTTGCTGTGTCGGGATCGCTTCCCAGACCCTCCTCAGTGTGCTCAATCCAACCGACCGCTGGCTGCAAGTCAGCATCGGGGTCCTCAGCATTAGTGTGAATGGTGAAAAGGTAGCTTTCTACGTCTTCCTCATTTAACCTAACAGTTGCATTGTGATTAGGTGCTTGGTTTCCCCCATCTCTAGTGCTAGGTTCTCCCTTCACCCCTTTATTAATGCACACAGTCATTGCCATGCTCTCTTTCTCTCAGACCCCTTTTGTTGTAGTGCTTGTAGAGTGTAAAGTGAAAGAGTGTTTTGCATTTTCCATCATTTATTGTTTATATTTTATTGTTATTTATTTGTAAAATCCTATAAATTTGCTTTTAGTGCTGTTATTTAAATCATCCAAAGCTCGGAGTTTCTCGTTGCTACTTGTCAGTTTTGTTAAATGTGATTGAATATAAGTAACCATGACTTACCAAAAAAAAAAAAAAGAAAGCAGCTACTCTTGGAGCTTATGCTTTCATTGGCAAGGGAAGACTTTTTGACTAATTTATCTGATGATTTTCTTACATGAGCTTTTGAAATACTTGGAAACGCAGTTTTAATATGAACTCCTAAGACAAATGTCCCTTACATGATCAATTATAGTTCCTGTAATTCTAGACTCTAAATCTCTCCTGGTTACAGTGACCATTTGAACGTCGGTGAGTGGGGAGCGGGGTGTATGGTCAGCAGCTGTTTTGAAATGTCCCAGTTTTATGACTGTTACTTGTGAGTCAGCACTGGTGCATGGGTTTCCTCTTCCCTCCTGCCTCTTAGTGGCCATTGTTTGCCTGGTAAAATAAGATCGCCTCCCCCCACGCCTTCTCGGCTTCTCCCCTCTACTCCCAGTCCTCAGGTTAAATGAAAAGCAGGTGGTTGAAGGAGAGGGTTGAGAGTGGAAGGTGGGCTGTGAAGACTTTTTAGGGGCATCCTGGAGTCTGTGAATGAAGCAGTGTTGTCTGTGGAAGTGGAGAGTGGAAAAGAAGATCCCCATTGACAGTGAGGAGGGAGGGTGGCTGGAGTCTGTGAATGAAGCAGTGTTGTCTGTGGAAGTGGAGAGTGGAAAAGAAGATTGTATTGACAGTGAGGAGGGAGGGAGGGTGGCTGGAGTCTGTGAATGAAGCAGTGTTGTCTGTGGAAGTGGAGAGTGGAAAGAAGTGGGGGGGGGGGGGGGGGGGGGGGGGGGGGGGGGGCATTGACAGTGAGGAGGGAGGGTGGCTGGAGTCTGTGAATGAAGCAGTGTTGTCTGTGGAAGTGGAGAGTGGAAAAGAAGATCCCCATTGACAGTGAGGAGGGAGGGTGGCTGGAGTTGTCACTGCGGTTGAAGCAGAGTCAGGGCTCTGGGACCTCAGTGGTTAGCCTGACTCTTCTTCCCCCAGCCCCCGCCCACCACTGTGTTGTGTGTCCTAGAGAGACTTACAGGGCTGTGAAAGAGTGACCCTTGTCAGTGTCCTTTTTAAGACAAGTGAGTGTACAGGTCAATGTGCTTGCTTGGAGATGGACTGGGGAGACAGCCCTGGTGCAGCAAGAACATTCAACTCATGAAGGATTTGACTCGTTGTACTTTAGAGACCATGAATGACAAGGTTTTGACATTTTTGAAGGATAATAAATGTCTTAATTTGGCAGTTTGAGTGATTGGGAAAAGGAATCTTAAACTAGGTGATTCTACTTGATTTTCATTGTGAAGTCATTAATAACGAACTTTGTGGCTCTTTTTTGAAGGTGGATCTTTCAACATATCGTTGTTTAGTTTTCAAGAATAAAGCCATCATAAGGCCTCATACCACAGAAGAGATAAAAGTGCTTTTTATCCCATCCAGTCCTGGGGTTTTCAGATGCACATTCAGTGTTGCTTCTTGGCCGTGTTCGACAGATGCTGAGACCATCGTACAGGCGGAAGCTTTGGCCAGCACCGTCACTCTCACTGCCATTGCCGAGAGTCCTGTTATCGAGGTACCCGTTTGTAAATGAATCTTTGTCATACCTGGCGTTTTAAAGAAGACTGTTTAACGTTAGAAGTAAAATTTGGGAAGAAGAAATTTGTGGACAAAGGAGCCACAAAATTAGTTTCAAGCTGAACTTTAGTTCTTAGTATCTTTTTATTTCAAAATTTAAAATTATTTTTAATTTTACAGAAACACAAGTATACTTGCTAAGATATCTATAAAGCAGAGTATAAGGTTAAGTAGTATTTTCCAACTGATTTCTATTGTATAATTTGATGTCCACTTAACAACGTGCCAGTGGTTCATATTCTTTTTATATTTCTGCACCTGGAGATTATTTGCCAGCTAGAAAAGTTTCCCTTCTCTAGTCACCTATTTTCTGGGAGCCAAAGAAATTAAGTCTGGCCAAGTTAGGATAATAAGTGGTTATTAGATTTTGTGCTCATTTAGGATGATGACTCTCAACCGTGGCTGCACATTGGAATAACACTGGGGTCTCTTAAATGTACCCCAATACCTGAGTCCCGCTTTGACTGAATCAGAATGAGGGAGGGTGTGGCTGCCTCTCGGTAATTTTTAAATCTTCCCAGATGATTATAATTTGTAGCCTTAGTTAACAACCACTGCTCTATAGAGCTGTCTCCTCTTAGTTATAGTGAAATCAGAACTAACATATTGGAAAAAATTAAGGAATGTGAGAGGGAGGGATGAGAGGGTGCAGAGCAGAGGAAAAGCAGAACAGGACTTGATACAGTAATGAGTCGCTTAACAATAGGGTACGCCCTGAGCAATGTGTCCTTAGGCAGTTTTGTCATTGTGTGAATATCGCAGAGTGTGCTCACACAAACCTCGACGGCACAGCCTTCTGCACACGTAGGCCTTATGGGACAGTCCATTGTTCCCATACAGCTTGTTACTGTACTTAATACTGTAGGGCAGTTGTAACACCATCGTAAGTGTTTCTATAGCTAAACGTAGAAAAGGTACAGAAAAAATACATGATAAAAGATTAAAAAATGGTACGTTTTATAGGGCACTTACCAGAGGACTTAAAGTTGCTCTCTGTGAGTCAGTGGTAAAGGCCTAGGACATTACTGTACACTCTTGTAGACGTTATAAACACTGCACATTTAGGCTATACCAAATTCATTAAAAAAAAGTTATACTATGATGTTATGATAGCTCTGACATCCCAAGGTGTTAGGAATTTTCCATCTCCATTATAATCTTACGGGATCACTGGCCTGTATACAGTCCATCATTGACCAAAACATCATTATGTAGCATGTGACTTTAATTAAAAATTAGTTGATTTCAGCTGGGCACTGGCACACACCTGTAATCCCAGCACTTTGAGAGGTCAAGGTGGGTGGATTGCTTGAACCCAGGAGTTCGAGACCAGCCTGGACAACGTAGTGAGACCCCCGTCTCTACACAAAATTTTAAAAGTCAGCTGGCTCTGGTGGTGCATGCTTATGATCCCTACTACTCCAGAAGCTGAGGTGAGAGGATCACTTGAGCTCAGGAATTTGAGGCTACAGTGAGCTAATGATCACATCACTGTACTCCAGCCTGGGCAACAGAGCGAGACCCAGTCTCAAAAGAAAAAAAAATTAATTTCCTAATATGTGAATTGAACTTAACATATTTAGCTAACCACACTTAACAGGTGTTACTGATATCCTCCTAAAGTTAATTAGTTGTTTCAGGCCAGGCGCGTGGCTCGTGCCTGTAATCCCAGCACTTTGGGAGGCCAAGGCAGGCGGATCACCTGAGGTCAGGAGTTTGAGACCAGACTGGCCAACATGGCGAAACCCTGTCTCTAGTAAAAATACAAAAATTAGCCAGATGTGGTGATGGGCGCCTGTAGTCCCAGCTACTCAGGAGGCTGAGGCAGGAGAATTGCTTGAACTCGAGAGGCGGAGGTTAGAGTGAGCTGAGATCATGCTATTGCACTCCAGCCTGGACGACAGAGCAAGACTCTGCCTCAAAAAAAAAAAAAAAAAAAAAAGATAAAGTTAATTAGTTTTTTCATTTTGCAAAGCTGTAATTGTGACTTGCGGTTTAGAAGTGGGTGTTGGGGATGAGACACAGGGTAGCCACTCTGGGAGACGGGTGAGAATCACCAGCGTTTTCCCCACAGTACACGTTCTTCAGGGGATGCTTAGTAACCTAGCTCAACAACTTTATTTTCTAGGGCATGGAGGAGGAAGTCAATTGGAAATGTTCTCATAAAGTTTTTTTTTCATGTTTTCATGTTCCTGTGTCCTTACGTTGGTATCTGCACATACTATAAACTTTTAGTGATCTTTTTTCTTTTTGGCTAAGTGCCGTTTTATATACTTCTCAGTCAGCTCTGCTCTGCTTGCCTTTCTCTAGGTCAAGGTTTTTCAGCATTAACACTAGTGCCATTTTGGGCTAGAAGATTCTTTGAGGGTAGCGAGGGCTGTCTTGTGCAGTGTAGGATGTTTAGCAGTGGCCCTGGCCTCTACCCACTGGATGTCGGTAATACCTCTTTGCCCACTGTGGTAACCAGTAACGTCTCCAAACATGGTCAAGCCACCCCCGATAGGAACCACTGAGAACCGGTGTTACTAACCTCCTGCATTTCAGTACATTTCACTAAACCAGCTGTTGAGCCTGCCTTTAAGCAGCTTACCTTTCTGTAGCAGACATGATAAATCACATTTATGCAATATTTGGCATTGCCGTGTCCCGAGCGGCTCACATATATCAGTGGTGTTTGGTAGTGGAAGGCAGTGGTTCCCTACTGGTGTGCTCATTGGAACCACCTGATGAACTTCAAAAACTGCTGATGTCTGTGTCTGAGCTTTGAATCCAACAGACAGACAAGTTTGGGAACCACTGGTATAGGGAATGGTTCAGTATTAATCAAGCTAGTTGAAGCTGCCTTCTTGGAGGAGTGGAACCAGAGGAATTAGGCCCTGATGGCTCAGCAGGGTTTGCCTGGGGAACCACATTCCCTATGAGAGAGCGTTTGGGAATTTATACAGAGACCACATGCATAGAACTGTTAGATTACTTTCTCAGCGTGATAAAGGGTCTCCCAGGTACATGATGCAAATGTTACAGTTTAAAGTATGTGCACCTTTGTTTTGGCTAGATATTGCCAATTTGCTGTCTAACTTATGTTCCTAGGAGAAATGTATACAGGTTCCTGTTACTGCTAACCTTTGGTATTGTTAGATTTTATTTTATTTTTTTAATCATTCTGGAGTGGTATGGATTTTTTTTTAATTTTAAATTTTTCTTTTATTTAAAAATTTTTTTGTGGGTATCTAAATAGGTGTATGTGTTTATGGGGTACATGAGATGTTTTGTTACAGACATGCAATGTGAAATAAGCACGTCATGGAGAATAGGTTATCCCCTCAAGCATTTATCCTTTGAGTTACAAATAATCCAGTTACATACTTTAAGTTATTTTAAAATACACAATTGTTGGCCAGGCACGGTGGCTCACGCCTGTAATCCCAGCACTTTGGGAGGCTGAGGTGGGCGGATCCCAAGGTCAGGATATCGAGACCATCCTGGCTAACATGGTGAAACCTCGTCTCTACTAAAAATACAAAAAATCAGCCGGGCCAGGTGGCGGGTGCCTGTAGTCCCAGCTACTCAGGAGGCTGAGGCAGGAGAATGGCGTGAACTCGGGAGGCGGAGCTTGCAGTGAGCCGAGATCACGCCACTGCACTTCAGCCTGGGCTACAGAGCGAGACTCCGTCTCAAAAAAATAATACACAACTATTATTGGCTATAGTCATCCTATTGTGCTGTCAAATAGTAGGTCTTAATTCATTCTTTCTATTTGTTTAGTACCCATTAACCATCCCCACCTCACCCCCAACCCCTACCCTTCTGAGCCTTTCATAACCATCTTTCTATTCTCTCTGTTTGTAAGTTCAATTGATTTGGTTTTTAGAACCCACGAATAAGTGAGAACATGTGATGTTTGTCTTTCTGTGCCTGGTGTATTTCACTTAACATAATGGTCTCCAGTTCCATCCATGTTATTGCAAATGACTGGATCTCATTCTTCCTATGGCTGAATCGTACTCCATTGTGTGTATGTACCACATTGTCTTGATCCACTTATCCGTTGATGAGCACTTAGGTTGCTTCCAAATCTTAGTTATTGTAAACAGTGCTGCAACAAACATGTTTCTTTAATATACTGATTTCCTTTCTTTTGGGTATATACCCCGCAGTCGAATAGCTGGATCACATGGTAGCTCAATTTTTAGTTTTTTGAGGAATCTCCAAACTGTTTTTCATAGTGGTTGTACTAATTCACATTCTCACCAACAGTGTGTGCGAGGGTTCCCTTTTCCCCACATCCTCACCAGCATTTGTTATTGCCCGTCTTTTAAATATAAGCCATTTTAACTGGGGTAAGATGATATTTCATTGTAGTTTGGATTTGCATTTCTCTGATGATCAGTGATGTCGAGCACCTTTTCATATGCCCGTTTGGCATTTGTGTGTCTTCCTTTGAGAAATGTCTATTCAAATATTTTGCCCAGTTTTTGATTGGGTTATTAGATTTTTTTTCCTGTAGAGTTGTTTGAGCCCCTTATATATTCTGGTTATTAATCCCTTGTCAGATGGGCAATTTGCAAATATTTTGTCTCATTCTGTGGGTTGTCTTTTCACTTTGTTGCTTGCATCCTTTGCTGTGTAGAAGCTTTTTAACTTGATCCCATTTGTCCATGTTTGTTTTGGTGCCTTTGCTTGTGGGGTATTGCTCAAAAGAAGTCTTTGCCCGGTCCAATGTCCTGGAGATTTTCCTGAAATTTTTATTTATTTATTTATTCATTCATTCTTTCATTCATTTAGAGATGGAGTCTCGCTCTGTCGCCCAGGCTGGATTGCAGTGGCGTAATCTCGGCACACTGCAACCTCCACCTTCCGAGTTCAAGCTGTTCTCCTGCCTCAGCCTCCCTGGCAGCTGGGATTACAGGCACGCACCACCATGCCTGGCTAATTTTTGTATTTTTAGAAGAGATGAGGTTTCACCATATTGGCCAGGCTGGTCTTGATCTCCTGACCTTGTGATCTGCCCTCCTCAGCCTCCCAAAGTGCTGGGATTACAGGTGTGAGCCACTGTGCCTGGACCCAATGTTTTCTTGTAGTAGTTTCATAGTTGGAGCTCTTAGGTTTGAGTTTTTAATCCATTTTGATTTGATTTTTGTATATGGCAAGAGACACGGTCTAGTTTCACTCTTCTGCATATGGATATCCAGTTTTCCCGGCACCATTTATTGAAGAGACATTCTTTTCCCCAGTGTATGTTCTTGGCACCTTTGTCAAAAATGAGTTCACTGTAGGTGTGCGGATTTGTGTTTGGGTCCTCTATTCTGTTCCTTTAGTCTGTGTATCTGTTTTTATGCCAGTACCATGCTGTTTTGGTTACTGTGGCTCTGTAGTATAATTTGAAGTCAGGTAATGTGATTCCTCCAGTTTTATTCTTTTTGGTTGGGATAGCTTGTCTATTCCAGGTCTTTTGTGGTTCCATGTAAATTTTAGGATTTTGTTTTTCTATTTCTGTGAAGTAGTATGGACATTTTAACAATGTTGATTCTTCCAGTCTGTAAACATGGAATGTTTTTCTATTTTTTGGTGTCCTCTTCAATTTCCTTTATCAGTGTTTTATAGTTTTCATTATAGAGGTCTTTTACTTCTTTGATTAAGTTAATTCCTAGGTATTTAATTTTATGTGTGGCTATTGTAAATGGGATTACTTTTTAAATTTCTTTTTCACATAGTTCAGTGTTGGCGTATAGAAATGCTACTGACTTTTATATGTTAATTTTGTATCCTGTAACTTTACTGAAAGTTTTTAAATCAGTTCTAATAGTTTTTTTTTTTTTAAACATGGTCACTTACTTTAATAACAATACATATACCGTGTTATCACCATGGGATATAAATTCAGGTTAGACAAGATAATTTCCCAAGTGTAATAGCATTCTGTAGTATATAAAAATTTCTCTATGCTCTCTGGCCAAACCAGCTTGCTCAGAAGACCTTCATCAGTTTCATTATAGGTAATTTGTTTAGTTTAATGTTTACAGTTCTTACGGAGAAAATAACACACATTTAAAAAGCGTTCATTTTTTCCATGAGTGCTTAAAATACATATTTCTATTTCAAGGTGACATTTAAAAATTATTCTAATATAGCAGCAGCAAAAATATAGTCTGTAGTTACAAAAGAAGTAAGCTAGAATCCGTAAGTTGTGCTCATGTTTACAATTGTGATTCTTTAATAAATACTATCACTATGCAGCTCTATTGTAAGCTTTCAAGATTTGGTTAAACATACCCACATACATACTGCCAGTTGTGGGAGGCTTTACAAGTTATATTCCCTGCACTCTTTGGACAGAGTTCTAAAAGAGCCAGCCAGTCCACAAGACCGGCATTAACTGGGGCAAATAGGACTCTTGTATAACATCTAAAACATGAGATTCTGCAACAAACTGGGGGCACTACAGGGTTGGCCTGGTATCTTCTTTAGAACTAATTTCATCACACAGTTTAAGAAGGTGGACATTTCAACACCATCAGGAGCATTTAGGTGACATGTTTCTTTTACGCTAACTTGACTTCCTTGAATGGCCTAGTTTGTAAACTAGTCACTAGTAATTCGGTCACCAGGCAAATCAAGAAAGGAAGTCAGTATTCAAAATGCCATGTTACCATCTGAACTCACTCAAATAGTTCACTTTCAACATTAATATGTAACTTCAATAATGAGATGTCTAACTAAAGCAAGCTCCTCCAACAAGACGAAGACAGCATCTCATTTAAATGCTCATCTTTTCCTTCCGTATTACCTTTGACTAATGTTTTAGTTCTAAACAGTTTTTACAGTCCCAACATTAACATTGTAAACAGATTTATCAAGCTATTTATACATCTTTTTGCTCACCATTGCTTCATGAATCTCTTGCTTTTCCCTCTGTTACGGACTCTGTTATCTAAGTTTTTTTAATTTTTTTTTTGAGACAGAGTCTCGCTCTGTCACCCAGGCTGGAGTGCCGTGGCGCAATCTCGGCTCACTGCAAGCTCCGCCTCCCGGGCTTACGCCATTCTCCTGCTTTGGCCGCCCAAGTAGCTGGGACCACAGGCACCCGCCACCACGCCCGGCTAATCTTTCTTTTTTTTTTTTTTTTGTATTTTAGTAGAGATGGGGTTTCACCATGTTAGCCAGGATGGTCTCGATCTCCTGACCTTGTGATCCACCCGCCTCGGCCTCCCAAAGTGCTGGGATTACAGGCGTGAGCCACCACGCCCAGCCCTGTAATCTACATTTAAAGTGAATTTACTTCATAGTTTATTTCATGTTTCTAGTTCTTGGGATACTAATGCTTCTACTAGTTACTTTTGCTGAGTCTTTCTGATTTTCTTCCAGTGGCTTCTAATTTTTTGATATTTAAAAATTTTTAATGTGAGCTCACATTCATTGAGGCTGCTTTTTGCTTTAGGAATCCCATGTCGTGTCTTAGTCTTTGGAAGTGTCTCTAGAGAGTACTTTTGCAGAAATGTTGGAGATGTTAAAAGCCTTTGAGATTTTTTTCAACTTGGGGATCCCCTGTCCCATGTGGCCTAGGCCTAGGCTTTCATGTTCTTGCAAATAATCTTCTATGCCACCCATCTCTGGACAGGTTCCTTGCTGACTCCATAGACATGTGAACAGTTTTTGCAGTTCCCTTTTCATTTCATTCCTTTGAATTTCTGGGCTTTATGTGCAGATTTCAAATTCCATTCTAGCCTCGCCCTGCTCATAACAAGCTTGAAGTCACATCTTCTGTTCTCTGGAACGTATTAAAGCTCTACCACCTTGAGGGCAAGTCTGGAACCCAGACCTTCCTGGGCCACCATGGAAATCAGCTCCCACTTAGTGGTCTGCCTTTGATCTCCACTTATTTTGTGTTTGGGTAGCGCAAAACAAAATGGGTGCACGTGTGTGTGTGTGTGTGTGCGTGTGTGTGTGTGTGTGTGTGAGATACAGTCTGTCCTCTGAATCTGTGGGTTTTGCATTCTTGTGTTTTACCAACCTTGGATCAGAAATAGAATTAAAAAAGGGGTAGTTGCTTCTGTATTGCACATGTATAGACATTTTTTTCTTGTCATTATTTCATTATTCTCTAATAATAATAAAGTGTAACAGCTATTTACATAGCATTTACATTATATTAGGTACTGTCAGTAATCTAGAGATGGTTTGAAGTATACAGGAGGATGTGCCTAGGCTATATGCAAATACTGTGACATTTCCTGTCAGGGACATTCATGAATTTTGATATCCAGTGAGGGTTCCTGTAGTGTCAAACGTTTCCACATATGGGTGTGTGAGGGTCTGAGTTTGATTGGTTCCCGCATTTAGGGAAGTGAGTCTGTCATGATCATAGGCACTTGTTTTAAACTTTTGATATGTCTGTTTTGATACCATTTTAACATTTGCAGATTACATCTGAAAATGCCAAGATATTCATAGTATTTTTGAAAGGAATTGAGAAGTCATTATTCTAATAATAGAACTCATTGAAAAGGGGTCTATAATTTTATAAAATTATCAGTTCATCTTAAGATACAGTCTTTTCAAAGTAACAGCAGCTAAATTCTATAATATATTTGGGTACATCGACTACCTCAAAAGAATAAATTAACATTTATTTTTGTAGAAAATAAGCAGTTGTTAAATAGCCTGGGAAAATGTAGTAAGTTTTACTTAATGCTAACTCATAATTTGTGGCTAGAAATGGCAGTCATATGAACATACATGTTGTGCTATTTATTAATATATTACTTTTCAATCATTCCCTTTTTTTGGTAATTAGGTAGAAACAGAAAAGAAAGATGTTCTTGATTTTGGTGACTTGACTTATGGAGGCTGGAAAGCTCTCCCACTAAAATTGATAAACCGAACGCATGCCACTGTGCCAATTAGACTGATTATTAATGCTGTAAGTACGAACATACAGTAAGAAACTGTTTACAGAATGCACTGATCTTATGAAAGCACATTTTTTTAAGGATTTTGTTAACAAGCTTAGCATTACACTGTTGGCTTTACTGAACGGATTCTTGTATTTCTGAACAGAACGCCGTAGCCTGGCGCTGTTTCATGTTTTCCAAGGAACCCGTCCGAGCTCCTGTGGAAGCTGCTCCTTGCACTGATGTGGTCACCCGGCTAGTAGGCCCTTCTGTGGTCAACCACATGATGCCTGCTAGTTATGATGGACAGGTAGGAGAGAACTGGCTTAGAATTAAAGAGGAGATTAAGCTTCTAAACTGCTTTTCTTTCATTAAGATTTTAATCTTAATACCAGTTTACATTAAGTCAAATTTTTCTTTTAATTTTAATAGGATCCAGAATTTCTGATGATTTGGGTTCTTTTCCATAGTCCAAAGAAACAGATCAGCTCTTCAGGTATCATGTTTACATTGTGTGGGAACTGCTTTAATCTGTAGCTAAATAAACTACAAATTTGAGATGTATTTCCTTTATCAGTAAGTGTCAGTACCTCGAAATTTGTCAAGTATTTTATGTTTTTTTGAAATTGAGGCAGATGGCATGCTGTTTTGGGTCAATCCTGTGTAAGTGTGGGTAACTCCTGCAGGTAGCACTGAAAACCTTTTCAAATGTTTTCTATTAATTGATCTTATCACATTTACCAGTTGAATGTTTTCTTTCTTTTTCCACCCTTCTCTTCACTCATTTCTATTCTTTTAACTCTTAAAAATCTTCTTGCCTAAATGTTCTTATTGCCCCTAAGGGCACTGTGTGAGACTGCTGATGGCATTTAGAATTAAATAACTCTCTGGTCTCTGAGCTAAAAGAATGTATTTTTTTTTTTTTTTTTTTAAGAGGTTCTGGACTCAGCAGAAGAATTCTTCGCAAAAGTTGATATAGAAGTAGACAGCCCAAACCCTACGCCAGTTCTTAGAAGTGTGAGTCTCCGAGCAAGAGCGGGAATAGCTAGGATCCACGCTCCCAGGGACTTGCAGGTAGCCTCAGTCCTCCTTTCTGCCATCACTGCTTTCATTCATGCTGATTTCACTTTGTGACAGTTCGTTGAAATGTCTATCTTGCCCCATCCTCCAGACGATGCATTTCTTGGCCAAAGTGGCTTCCTCAACAAAGCAGCACTTACCTTTGAAAAATGCTGGGAACATTGAAGTTTATTTGGATATCAAGGTATGCACTTCCATCAGAGTGCCATACGATAGGCTTTCCTCAGACTGCGAGGGCTCCTTGCTTTCTGCAGGGCTCTTGTGCCCTTCCTGGCCCAACAGAGTGCCCTGAGCCTCAGATGAAAGAATCACTGAGAGTTTTTAAAAACTGGGTGTTACATAACGTAAAATGTATGCTGTGGCGCTTTTAAGTTTGAAGTCCAGTGTCTTGAATATGACAACCAAGTTCTTAGATTAGTTCCTGAAAAACATGCATGTCACCCTTTGGTTGGAGTTGGTGGAGAGTGATCCACACACGTTGACATCATTTCTGAGATCTGAGGGTGAGTGAGAGGGGGTTAGTGATCCAAAATTGGGGGTGAGGTGGAAGATAAGGTTTGCTGTAGAAGAGAAAGAAATATCCTTTCCAAGAGAACAGGGCAAGTTGAGACCGTGACAGATGAGAAGAGGACAAACAACCTGTCCTAGTAAGTGAGACGGGCACGTGCGGCAGGAGCCACTGAGCACTGAGTGAAAGCTGAGGTTTGTACGTTGGCATTCAGTTATGATTATGTAACTATATTTAGGTCCCAGAACAAGGAAGTCACTTTTCAGTGGATCCAAAGAATCTATTCCTTAAACCTGGAGAAGAACATGAGGTTATTGTTTCATTTACTCCAAAGGATCCTGAAGCCTGTGAGGAAAGGTAACACAAAAATGTTATAATGGGCCGGGCACAGTGGCTTACGCCTGTAATCCCAGCACTTTGGGAGGCCGAGGCGGGTGGATCACCTGAGGTCAGGACCAGCTTGGGCAACATGGCCAAACCCTGTCTCTACTAAAAATGCAAAAATTAGCAGGATGTGGTGGTGTGCACCTGTAGTTTCAGCTACTTGGGAGTCTGAGGTGGGAGAATCGCTTGAACCCAGGAGGCGGAGGTTGCAGTGAGCCGAGATCACACCTCTGCACTCCAGGCTGGGCGACACAGCAAGAGTCCGTCTGAAAAAAAAAAGTTTTAATGACAGTTTTACTCGTCTCTCAAAACAGCCACTCACATGTGCTTCAAAATTTCACAGCCTGAATGACAAAGTCCATATATTTCTTACCTAACAGATGGTATGACTCTGTTTAATCTCCTTTCATTTAGCTTCAGATTGTCTTCTCTTTTTTAAACTAAAAATCTTCTTTTAAACCACCTGAATAGAAATGAAGAAATTATTATTTTCAAGTATATTCTGACAAAAGTAAATAATAAAAGATCAATTTCATGTTTCTCACTTCTTTTTTTTTTTTTTTTGAGAGGGAGTCTCACTCTGTCGCCCAGTCTGGAGTGCAGTGGCTGGATCTCAGCTCACTGCAAGCTCCGCCTCCCGGGTTTGAGCCATTCTCCTGCCTCAGCCTCCCAAGTAGCTGGGACTACAGGCACCCGCCACCTCGCCCAGCTAGTTTTTTGTATTTTTTTAGTAGAGACGGGGCTTCACTGTGTTAGCCAGGATGGTCTCGATCTCCTGACCTCGTGATCCGCCCGTCTCGGCCTCCCAAAGTGCTGGGATTACAGGCGTGAGCCACCGTGCCTGGCCTGATGTTTCTCACTTTTTCTCCTGAAAGTATTAGTTGACCGTGTCAGCTGTTAAGATCTTTCTCCATTTCTTCTCTAAGCCCATGACTTCTTGGCACCCAAATCATGAGTGAGTATCAACTTAGAGTCAGAGTCCCACTGTCATGAGTACTGAGCTTGCTTGTGTTACCCTAGCTTAAAGTATACTCTCCTCTGACACACACATGGCTTATCCCCCTGCCTGGGTTATAGAACACTTCACCGTGCGCTCAGTCTCTTCTTGTGACCTTACAGAAGAGAAGAGTCTGGTCTGCACCAGCGTGAATGCCACTGCCTGGAATGCTTGCTCTCAACCTCCCTGGGCTGGCGCCTTCTGGGAGACTTTCCTCCACTGTTCCCAAATGTCTCATAAATAGCATTCCCAAAGCACGATGGCTTCTCACACCCCCCACGTGCAGGTGCCATTGTGATCGTCTCTCTCCTTGTCTGTATTCTTCTCTGCAGCACAAATCTAAGGGTGGGAATAGCATCATATCCCCAGCACCTAGCTCAGTCTTTTGAACAATGGAAACATGTAGGAAATAGTTGGGAAAAGAATCAAATACAGGACCTTCAACTCAGAATTCTTTCTTAGGATGTTGAAAATACTTGTGCAGCCATTTGGACCTCAGTATGAAGTCATGTTAAAAGGTGAAGTCATTTCTTCAGGAAGTAAACCTGTGTCACCTGGACCTTGCTTAGATATGCCATCGATTTTGTCCAACAAACAGTCTCTGGCTTGGGGAGGCGTCCCTCTTGGTAGAGCACAGTAAGTGTCAAGGACTGACAAATAGCCACTATTTATACATATTTTGGAGCGGACCACAAGTTAATGTTTGCAGGAAAATTTTGTCATAATAGACACTCTTCAGGCTCAATTGTGCAGAACTGGAAAAACCTCCTAGATGGGCGCGTGTCCTGATTCAGCTTTTCTTTCACATAGATTCCAGTCCTTCAAACAGCACCTGACACATGACCAACAGTACAGTTGCTGCTGAGGAGGGAGTATCCCCTTAAACTCACTGCCACTCTGTAGTTGTCAAAAGCCAGCTAAGAGACAGATTTGTGGAGAGCTGCACAGAGAATATGCAGTACATCCATTCTTCTGAATGATCTAAATTTCTCAGTCAGCAACCGCATGGTTTTAGCAAAACCCATAGAAGTGTTTTTAATGCACCAGACTTGGGTGTCAAACTTCCCGACCACACTGAATGGAGCATGTAGGGGAGAGGGGTACCTTAGGAAATGGGAGGTAGTATTTACTGTAAAATTGTTTGGTGGGGGTTTTTTTTTTTTTTGAGACTCCCTGTATTGTACAGGTTTATCTTTAAAAGGATCTCTGGAAGAAACGTCTCTGAGAAGCCTGTGGCAGAAACAATTACACGTCACTCGAGCAGTAACTGGCTTGTTCTTGACTTTCAAGTGCGTTTCACTGATGATGTGACTCTGGAGACCTAGCCTCTCCCATCCCGCCTGACAGCTCTATGGAGACCTAGCCTCTCCCATCCCGCCTGACAGCTCTATGGAGACCTAGCCTCTCCTATCCCGCCTGATAGCTCTGTACTTGAAAATGATAACCACAGACAGGGCTTTACAAGTTATAAAATAAATACATGAGAATGAAAACTTTACAAAATAATGTTTCTTTCAGGTAATTCTTCCCCAGTCATTGTCCCTGTGGAAGGCTTTTCCTGGAGGTGTCAATAGCCAAAGTTGTCTGCGTTTCTCTTAACACAAGGTAGATGAGACGTAGACCTCAGCTGCTGGTTTATTAGCTGCTGATATTCTCCAACTTTGAGTAAAACAGAGATTTACTCATGTATTCTCTGTTCTCCAGTGAAGACAGGATTCACATAGTTTCCACAATTGAAGTGTTTTTATCAGTCAGGTGCTATTATATGTCCATTCTTTTGCATTGTAGCTTCTTTAAAAGTAATTAAAGTAGAGTTAATTCAATATACTGTTTAAAAGACTACTTTGTGCAAATGAGCCTCTTAGCCTAGGACCCCTTGTTTCCCTGAAAGCTCGCTTGGATAAGCTAGGTATTCCAGCTAGGGGTGATATTGACTTAATGACTTGATGAATTTCTTCACCTGGATTTTCATTGATGGATGTTTTATATGACAGATAATACCTATACACGTAGTATAAATAATAAGGTCAGCTGCAGAGCTATATCTGGAGAGAGATTAAACCAAAAAGCCTCTATAGGGTGAGTCTTGAGGCTACATTTTCAGAAACATAGAGTCTAGGACTGTGGGGAGACAATTGCAGGCTGCTGAAATGGCTCGTGTAGGCAGTTCTTCTCTAGACGTTGTGGTTGTTTTTAATTGGCTTTGTTCTTATAACAATAGCAATATCCATGGAGAAAAACTATATTTAAAATGTGTAATTGTTTTTAGGCTTCAGAAACTAGCTTTGAGAAATAATTCTGCATCCACAACGCAACATTTACGACTGCTAGTTAGAGGACAAGATCAGGACTGCTTTCAGGTTCGTAGAGTACGCGGGTTCTTGTGCCTTCTGTCTGGGTCTGCAGCACTTACCTATGCAGACCCTTTTGTGTTGTTACCTTTTAAGAATTGGTGTTAATGGTATGTTTTGTTTGTGCTACTGCTGTGTTTTATGCAGTTACTGTTTTTAAATTGTAGCTTCAGAACACTTTTGGTTCAGAACAGCGATTGACCAGTAACTGTGAGATCAGAATTCACCCAAAGGAAGACATTATCATCTCTGTATTATTTGCACCTACTCGATTATCTTGCATGTTGGCTAGACTAGAAATCAAACAACTTGGAAACCGATCACAACCAGGCGTAAAGTTCACAGTAAGATCATTTTATTGCTTTTCCCTTCCCCTGGAGTTTATGGCGTGTTATAACTATTGGTTTAACGTTGTAAATTATATACTCTGCCTTTTATAAGTGAAAATATGTAATTATCTAGACTTACAAGCAAGTTAAGGAGTAATTTATATGCTTTGTAGAATTGGCAAGTTATAATAGCAGCCAACATAGTATTCTTACAGGTATTAGTCTTTCTAATGCTTTTTAAGTTTCATTTTATTTTGTTGTATTTTTTTTTATCCTGTATCTCCAGTGCTTCTGAGCGTGATAATCAGTTTTACCCTATCGTCATCTTCTAAATTTCACTTGGTACCTCTTAAAGTAGGCCTTATTCTCAACAACTTTAACAAACCCCATCCTGTGGAACAGAGACTCGACAGAGACCTGCAGGCCCAGCAGCGCTCCTGGGTGTTTATTTATTTATTTATTTTTTATTATACTTTAGGTTCTAGAGTACATGTACACAACAGCAGGTTTGTTACATATGTATACATGTGTCATGTTGGTGTGCTGCATCCATTAACTCGTTATTTACATTAGGTATATCTTAAGTTTCATTTTAATTTGGACATTTAAAAATATACCCAGAGTTTTAGGAACACATCTTTGGGTAAATCCACTTGGAGCTGTTTAAAATACTAACTTTCATGTTAAGTTTTATTTTATCAGTTGTCAGCACAAATACTGTCTTAGTCTGTTGAGTGGGCTATAGCTAAATACCACTGAGTAATTTATAATAAACAACAGAAATGTATTGCTCACAGTTCTGGAGGTTGGGAAGCCCAAGATCAGAGCACCAGCAGATGCGGCGTCTGGGGAGGGTTGCCCTCTGCCTTTTTGTGCCCACACACGGTGAGAAGGATGAGAGTGCTGCCTCCAGCCTCTTTTATAAGAGCACCAAGCCCATGCATGGGGCCGGAGCCCTCCTGGCTTAATCACTTCCCCAAAGGCCCCCCTCTTAGTACTGTCACATTGGAGACTAGGTTTCAACATGTGAATTTGCTGGGGGACATCCCCATTTAGACCATACCAAATACCCATTGACTGAATTTGCTAGCCCCAAGACAAGAGTTTTTATGCTTTTTAATTGCCAGCATAATATGTAAAAAGGATTTGAAGCCATTTGTGTAGACACATTCAGAGTAATTAGAGATAAAAGTGATAAATCGTAGAGGAAAGAAGCAACGGCAAGGCAGTCGGAAGAAACTCCAGCTACGTGGTTGTGCGTGCCTTATAACTGCACAGGTGTTCGGCAGTGGGGCTGGAGCTCACATTTTGGTTCTATATCCTACTGTTAAAGAGGGGATGTGATAAATTACAAGATGAACAATATCTAAAAGTTTTTAGAATTAGATATGTATGACAAATACAGCTTTATTTGACACTGGAGCTTGACCTCTGTTTTCTGTGGAGTCACTTGACTGGCCCCACGAGCCGCGGTGGACAAAGCTGTTTAAAGATGTTAGTGGTCATTTTTACAACTGTCGTGCTTCCACGTGCACCCAAGAGACACTCAGAGCCTTCAAGGTCTCTGACGATCTGATTTTGTGTAAGGATAAAACTTGGGTTGTGGAGAGGACTAAACGGACTGTATTTTTCAGGCTTCTTGAATATATTCTGATTTGTTTAGGTTTACTAGCCATGATTTTGAGGTTGTTCTCAAGGAAGAGTCTCTGATAAGTCTCTAGTGATTTAGGGCAGAACCATTTGATTTAATAATCAACCAAGCAGGGATTTGGCATCCTTTGAAGACAACCCAGGGTCCTGGTGGGATTCCTACCTGCAAAGATGGCTGCCCTGACCTCTCACAGAGGTGGACTGCATGGGGTTTGCCTGTGGGGTGAGTATGGCTATTATTTCACAAGAAGACTCAGAATTAACATTGCTGTGCCTTTGTAAAGATAAAGTAGCCTGGCAGAGTGGCGGAAGAGCTGTTAACATGGCAGGAGGATCCAGGGAGCCGGCCCTGTCTCTGTTACTTACACTCACCTTGGCATTTCCTCACTCGTCTCATCAGAAGCTGCTTGCTGTCCCAACTTGCCAGTTTGATTGTGAGGAACAAGTGAAATGATCTGTGTTTTGAATACCGTAACCATGATAGGACTGCAATAAAAATGTATTGATTATCTGTTTCATGTTGATTGTATTCCGGGCACTACCCTCAGTCACTGTGTGGATGCTGTAATCTGAATGTGTCTCCCAAATTTCTGTATTGGAAACTTACTCTGCAGTACCACAGTGTTGGGAGATGGATCCCTCTGGGAGGTGTTGAGCTCCTGAGGCTCTGCCCTCGGGAATGGATGAATGCTGTTACAAAAAGGCCTGAGGGAGGGAGTTGGGCCTTTTTGCCCTTCTGTCTTCTGCCATGCGAGGACACAGCATTTCTTCCCTCTGGAACATGCAGGATTCAAGGTGAGATCTTAGAAGCAGAGAGCAGCCCGGCCGGCTACAATGGCTCACGCCTGTAATCCCAGCACTTTGGGAGGCCAAGGTAGGTGGATCACAAGGTCAAGAGATAAGACTATCCTGACCAACATGGTGAAACCCCGTCTCTATTAAAAATACAAAAATCAGCTGGGCGTGGTGGTGGGCGCCTGTAGTCCCACCTACTCGGGAGGCTGAGGCAGTAAAATCGCTTGAACCCAGGAGGCAGAGGTTGCAGTGAGCTGAGATTGCGCCACTGCACTCCAGCCTGGCAACAGAGCGAGACTTTGTCTCAAACAAAAAGAAGCAGAGAGCAGCCCTCACCAGAAACCAGCACCTTGATCTTGGACTTCCAACCTCCAGAACTGTGAAGAGTAAATTTCTGTTCTTTATAAATTACCCAATCTCTAGTATTCTGTGACAGCAACACAAACAGACTGAGATGGTGGGTTGTTACCCGATCTATAGTATTCTGTGACAGCAACACAGACTAAGATGGTGGATTGTTACCCGATCTGTAGTATTCTGTGACAGCAACACAAACAGACTGAGATGGTGGGTTGTCGCATTTTTTTTTTTTTTTTTTTTTGAGACGGAGTCTCGCTCTGTCGCCCAGGCTGCCGATCTATAGTATTCTGTGACAGCAACACAAACAGAGTGAGATGGTGGGTTGTCACATTTTTTTTTTTTTTTGAGACGGAGTCTCGCTCTGTTGCCCAGGCTGGACTGCAGTGGCCGGATCTGAGCTCACTGCAAGCTCTGCCTCCCGGGTTTACGCCATTCTCCTGCCTCAGCCTCCCGAGTAGCTCGGACTACAGGCGCCCACCACCTCGCCCGGCTAGTTTTTTGTATTTTTTAATAGAGACGGGGTTTCACCGTGTTAGCCAGGATGGTCTCGATATCCTGACCTCGTGATCCGCCCGTCTTGGACTCCCAAAGTGCTGGGATTACAGGCTTGAGCCACCGCGCCCAGCCGGATTGTCACATTTTTATCTTCAAAACAACCATCTGAGATACGACCACTCTTGCCATTTTGCACTTGTGTAAACTGAGGCTGCGAGAGATGCGTGGCTGTGATTTTGCATCTTGCTTGCTGGTCAGGGGTAGACACAAGGTTCAAATTCAATCTGGCTGAATGCAGAGCGCACGTTTATGTACCGTGCAGTCTCTAGGGTGCTAATAACAGCTCGGTGTATTGTCATCTGGAGCAGTGGTTCTCTACCAGAGCTTGTGTTACCCGCAGGGGACATTGGCAGAGTCTGGAGTTACTCTGGTTTGTCGTAACAGGGGGCAGTACAGGAGTGCTACTGGCACCAGCTGGGTGAGGCCAGGGAGGCTGCCGAACATCTGAGGAAGCCCAGGATAGCTCCATCACAAAGAATCACGCTGCTCAACATTTCGGTAGTACTGAGGTTAGGAGCAATAGTGTTTCCCGTTTAGTCTGTGGATTTACGGTGTGAGTCAGATTTGTTTCATTTAATCATTCTTTTTTCTTTTCTTTTTTTGAGACAGAGTCTTGCTCCATCACCAGACTGGAGTGCAGTGGCATGATCTCAGCTCACTGCAACCTCTGCCTCCCAGGTTCAAGCAATTCTCTTGCCTCAGCCTCCCGAGTAACTGGGACCACAGGCGCGTGCCACCACGCCCAGCTGATTTTTGTATTTTTAGTAGAGATGGGGTTTCACCATGTTGGCCAGGATGGTCTTGATCTCATGATGTGCCTACCTCAGCCTCCCAAAGTGCTGGGATTACAGATGTGAGCCACCACAGCCAGCCAATCATTCTTTTTTCTTAACCTTGTTACTCAGTAGTAATTTGTGATTTCTTAGGCAGAATACTTAAATAATGAGTATTTTCAAAGGTACCTTTTCCCTTGTTTTTTACTATTTAGTTTCATTGATAAAATTTACTTGTATATTTCTATGGATAAAGAAAAATTAGAAACATTTTTGCTATTGAAACTACCAGAGGTCACTGAGTGAGGGAGGATTTGTAGGGGCTTCCAATCTGAAACCCTTTTAAATGTTGTTTGTTTGTTTGTTTATTATGTAATTATTTATTTATTTTGAGACATCATCTCGCTCTGTCGCCCAGCCTGGAGTGCAGTGGCGTGATCTTGGCTCACTGCAACTTACACCTCCCATGTTCAAGCAATTCTCCTGCCTCAGCGTCTCGAGTAGCTGGGATTACAGGCGCCCGTCAACATGCCTGGCTAATTTTTGTGTTTTTAGTAGAGATGGGGTTTTGCCATGTTGGCCACGCGTGTCTCGAACTCCTGACCTCAAGTGATCCGCCTGCCTTGGCCTCCCAAAGTGCTGAAATTACAGGCGTGAACCACTGTGCCAAGCCTGAAATGCTGTTTGTTTGCACTAAAAGTCAAGACAGTACAAACTGATGAAAAAAATTACTTTTTCAAAATGTTATTTTGGTTTAGTACATACCAACTCGGAATAAGTTATGATGGTTTCAAGTTTGCAAGGAAGTATTTGCAACCTGTTTTAGTACAACTTGAGTATCCCTAATCTGAAAATTCAAAATCCACAACACTCCAAAATCAG